TACAACCAGAGCCTGTCACTACCAGTGTCTCTGTCCCCAGTGCTTTGGTGTTTTAATTCCTCTCTCTGCCACTTGCCCCTCCTCCAAGCTGGCTTCTAATGAGCACTGTACCCGTGTCACAATGTGTTTTGTACCAGTGGGATCTGCATTATCCTCCCCTCCTGGACAATAATCAGGCAGGGAGGACTGGGGATCTTCAATCTGCCTCTGAGCCCCGGCCGCGCTGGGACCCGCAGGGTGCTCAGCAATACTGCAGCAGCTCATCAGTCTTCAGACAAAGAAACCTTCTGATTTGCTTTCCAAAGAGAGGCTCTGGTTTCACACCCAGGATAAAGCCGGTCTCCGGACTCGGGGTGCTTCAGATCTTTGTCTCCCTGATGTGCATCTATTGCAGTCTGGAAGGCTGCAGTGGCTTGTTGCTTGGCCTCCTGTTTGTAGGGCCCATCAGCACTGAGGACCCAGGGAATGAGGAGGGCATTTGCATACCCTGCTCTGTCATGTGCCAGGCATGCAGAACCATTCTCTTTCAGATCCTGCCTTCTGCCTTTATAAAGGCAACTAAAGCATCCAGGCAGGGCCCTGTATCCGCAGCGCTGCCGGTGCCTGTGGGCCATGGGGAGCTGCTTGTCAGCTTGGGTAAAAGGATCACGGAAGAAAAATGCCTTTCATAGTCTGGCCCCAGTAGGATAAAGGGACCGGGCATGACCTTTGGGGCTGTTTAACTCTGATCTCCAGTGCTCCCTGGGGCTGAATTCCTCCTCTCCCTCTGCTGTAGACTCTGCCATTGTTTCCCTGCACCCGTTTCCCCTATTCTAGCAGTGGGAAGTATTTTGGGATGACTCTGTGCCCTCTGGTTGCATCCGCAGAGGAAGCGGGAGCTCTGGAGCATCCTGGATGGACCGGAACAGCAGCTGAGATTCCTGCGGGCTCTCCATGGGGACCAGCCCCTCTGTGCTGGGCTGGCCGGGGTCTGTGCCTGCAGTGGGGAGCCCCAGAGCTCAGCTCCTCACTGGGGCTGGGTGAAGGATGGGGGCACCGTCCAGAAGCTGCAGCCCCATCCTGGAGCAGCTGGGGGGGGCTGTTCCTGCTCTGGGAATTGCACAGAGGTCTGGTTTTTCATCTTAATGGTGTGATATAAATGAAATATGTTGTTATTATTATTAACACCTTCATCATCATCTGCCTTGGCAGAGGAATGAGTAATGCTGTTCATTGACACCTCATGTAATATTAACCGGGTCTGGAGCACTCAGGTGTGGAAAGTGTGCAGTGATTGAATGTGAGCATCCTCCTCGCACATCAGAGCTCTGCTGCAGCTGCCCAGCGTGGGGAGGTGGGAAGGGGGCTCAGAGCTGTGCCTCTGCATGCAGGGCCTTTGCTTCTAGTGAGCAGTTGCTCAGATGAATCTCTCTCACAGCTGAAAAGCTGTGGATTCAGCTCCAGAAAGCCCTCAGGAAACCCTGAGCATGTGTGCTGGTGCTGAGCAGCTCCCAAGGACCTGAGCCCTGACTGGGAACACTGGAGGGCCCTGTGGCTGGTGGAGCTCAGTGAAGGGTGATTTGGACCCATGGCAGTGGAGGAGATGGTCTTGTGTCTGATGCTGGCTGAGAGGTGATGCAGGCTTCTTGCCATGCATGGGGAGAGGATACTAAGAGAGCTGCACCTTGGCTCTGCTTTGGCAGAGGACAAGGGCCTGGCTGAGCTGGCAGTGGGGTTTGCCTAGCAAAGAAGACATCCCATGTCATCTCTGAAGCCACTGCTCCCAGCATTGCTGCACAGGGAGGTAACCTGGAGCTCTTTGGGCTTGTTGATGCAGCACCCGATAAAGCTGGGATGCATTTCAGCTTCGTTCTGTGAAGGATGCTCTTGGCTGTCCCTGCAGAAAGCAGCATGTGCCACAGCATCACTGGCTCTATGGGGAGCGTTCACAGCGAGTCCTCCAAGGCAAGTGCAATGCTGGAAAATGTAGGGCTTGGCAGTGCTCACCTCTGTTCCAAGCCAGAGCTGGCTGGGGCTGCAGGAGCCCCTCACGGGGCAGAGCATGGCTCTGCATACGTATTTGCTTTCCTGGTTTGTAATATGCTATTGTTGGAAGGAGGGTGCCCATGGGAGGAGGCTCATTATCTCTGAGGACAGCTAATAGGGAACAAATGTAGAGATGAAACAGCACGTGTCAGTCCCCTGCCCGTGAGTGGCATCTCTGGGTGGCAGTGCCAGGCATTGAGGAGCTGCCAGCTGATGGGAAAGAGGAGCTGCTCCTGGTGCACCCGCCCTGGGTTTCAGACTACAACTGCGTGGGTTTGTGTTTGAGCTGGGTTTTGGTTGCTCCAATTTGATCACAAACAGATGCTCCTAGGGTCTGCTGCTTGCAAAACCGGGTGCCAAGTGGGAGAGTGACTCATGCAGTGGAGGAAGGTTGGATCTCGGGTTCCTGTGTATTCGGAAGTGCCTCTGCGGGGTCTTGCTTGGAGGAGCTGAGAGGTGTCAAGTGCTCAGAAGCAATAGAAGTGCAGACCTGGAGCTGAGGGCACTGGGGCCTTTGGAGGTGTCTGTGTGTTGGGGTGGCTCTTTTTTTAGCTGTTGTAGTCAATGGAGAAGTAACAGATGCAGAACCTGGAGGAATGATCTCCCAAAAGGAATTTCCTGATTCAGTCAAGACCCAGAAGCATCAAATCCCAGGTTGGATGCTGGCACCGTTCCCGGCACCGGGGTGGGATGGCGGTGGCTCTGCAGGGTGACGGAGGGGCTGCGGGCTCTGTGCCGAGGAGCTGGCTGGCTGCTGAGGGAGGAGCAGGTTGCTATGATACAGTTTGCTGTGGCAATGCCTGTGCTGAATGGAGCCAGAGCCACCTCGACAAAAGGAGCATTCCTGGGCTGGGAGGGGGCAGATTTATCTGCAGTGTTTATGTAAAGCTGAGGAGCCGCAGGGAGAGGATGTGTGTGGGAATGCTTTCCTGCAGCGTGCGCTGGGGCCCCTGTCTGGAAGCAGATCCCCTTATGTGCGCCGGGCAGAGGGCATGGCTCAGATAAAGGACTCAGCAAATCCATGCGCATCGCATCAGTGCTGGATCCCGCAGCCCGTCCGGTAAACCCGCACCGGGCAGGAGGCGGACAGCTCGGTTCAAAGGGGAGCTCAGCCCTGCCAGGCTGGGTGCTGCCTGCAGGGGACCTGGGTCACCTTGGTGTGCTGCAGCAGGATGCGAGGCAGCAGCTCCCCGGTGCCAGCTCTGCCCATCGGGCTCGGGAGCAGCTTGAGCCTGAAGCGGGGTCAGAGATCTCTGTGCCTGGGATGCGGGGTCACCGCGCTGGGTACCAGCCTGCATCCCCTGTCTCGGAGCCAGCCAGGGCGCCGCAGGGACCGGCTGCTTCCCGTGCAGGGAACGGGACTTTCCCTCTAGGAAGAGGGCTGCGCTCTGCAGAGGTCAGGGTCTGTTGCTTCTGTGCTGCATCCCAACTGCTGCTCTTCCCGGTGCCTTTGCAGGGACAGAGACCCACGCTGTGGCTTCTCATGGTGGGAGCAGGGATGTGCCGGGTGCCTTTGCTCCTGGGGGCTGGCAGCAGGGTGGTGTCTGGAGATAGCTGGGTTTGCTGTGAATCCAGATGCTCTGGAGCTGGGCAGGGCTTGGGAAGACACAAAGCAGCACTCAGCCTGCCCTGTGCCGCTCTGCTCCCCTGGCAGAGCTTTGCAGAGGTATCTGGGGTGTTTGCAGGGCACATGGCATGCTTTGCTGTGCTGGAGGGGCTGCACCCGCTGTGATGGATGCAGTTGTGAGCCCCTGTGCAGACCAGAGCCAGGAGGGAGCTCCCGCAGAGGATCTGTTCTGCTCTCACCCTCACCCCGGGCAGATTCCTGGGATACATCAGCCTCCATCATCCATAGTTCCTCAGGGAACAGCCTGACACCTGGCCTGGGTGCTCCCCCTCTTCCCAGGGTGGGAAAGCGCCAGGGCCGGGCATCCCGAGGGGCCGTGGCAGGAAGCGCGTCCGGTTTCCTTGGCCTTGGGGTGGGCGATCCTTTGGGAGGAGCACATTCAACAAGGACTCTGGTGTCTGCTTCCCCTCTGCATCAACAAACATCTGCCTCTCATCCCTCCAGGAAGCCGAAGCCCATTGTAAAGCCCAATACAAACCCGAAGCAAGGAGCCGATGGCTCCGTTGCTGTTGACGGGAGGCATCTGCAGTTGCACAGAGCACACCTCAAACAACATCATGGTGGGGCAATGACTTGAATGCCTGGAATGTTCCTTGAAGGTGTGTGTGTGGCAGAAGCTGGGCAGGATTCAGGCTGGGCTTCCTGCCTGCTCACGGAGCAGAATACAGAGTCATCCCCTCCAACTTACAGCTTGCTCACCCAAACCTGGCACATCCTTTATGTACCAGAGTCTGTCTGACTTTTCCCAGCACATCCAGAGTACAAGGCTGTTCTTTTTATACTTGTCTTCGATTCTCACCATCCATGTGAGCAAGCTCTTGTGTATAAAGATAGCTAGAGAGGGTAAAAAATAGCACAGCATTCCCTGTCTTCCCTCAGCTGCACTTTTCCACCATTAGTAGTGCAGCAACTGCATGACAGTAGGATCCATACGTACAATAGCAGTGGAGAGGCATGTGCTGCTCTCCAGCCTTGAAGCCCTTCCAAGCTCTGGCACCTCAGCATGCTCTGGCATCATGACTCCATCACTTCTTCCTTGCCAGATGTTAGGGAGGGAGAGAGATGCAAACCTTGCCTTTATTTCCACTCTGCACTGGGATGAATGCAAGAGCACAAAACCTCTCACTTGCGCACCTGAACAAAGGGACCACGTCCTCTGCAGAACCGAGCAGTGCCTGGTCCCTGGCTGAAGGTTTGGGTCAATGTCCTCTGGCTCTTGGCAGAGCAGTTTGCACCCTGTGGCAGTGCCTGCAGTGCCTGGCAGGGGGCTGGGGGTCCCAGCCTGCCCATTCAGGTAGTAGCATCAGCGGGGGGGGATGTTCTGCTCACAGGCTGCTCCTCTCCTCAGGCTCTGCATACTATGATAACGTCCGTCCCTTGGCCTACCCGGACTCGGACGCTGTGCTCATCTGCTTTGACATCAGCCGCCCGGAGACCCTCGACAGCGTGCTCAAGAAGGTGAGTGCCCAGCATGCTTCTACCTGGTGAGATGGGTCCTCTGCAGCAGCACCATTCCTGCTGCCTGGGACTGCCATCAGGGCTACAAGCCTTGGCTGGAGGTAAGGTCCTCAGATGAGGACGGTTGTGCTCAGATAAGGATGCTGCTGCTGATCCCTCCATGGTCTGTGCAGGAAGCTGGTATTTCCATATGAAAGGAGCCCAGTGAATGGGAGCTTGCAGCATGGAGAGGGGGAGATCTGTGTGTATGCATACATACAAATGTGTGGACAGAGAAGTGTAGGGCATTTGTTCTGTTTTCCATGAAGACCTTGGAAGGTGTTGTGCACCTCTTGTTAGCGTAACCACCAATGGGTATGCTCTGGGTTGCTTGCAGCAGTTGAGAAGTGGCCCCGGCCGCTCGCATCCCTTGGTCTGTCTGCACCCTGCTTCCTCCCATGGAACCCAGGGAGCTGTGGTTCTGGTGAGCTCGGGGCTGAGCAGCAGAGCTGCAGGGCGCTCACTGGTGCTGTCCCCTTTGCCAGGGGTGAGTTTTGTCTGGCATCTCTTTTGTGAGGCTCTCTGAGACACTGTGGTTGACAAGCACAACAGAGCAGGGATGCTGAGGCTGTTCAGGCTGCTGGGCTGGGTGGCCGCTGTCCGGACCAGTCCCATTGTACCGGCTGCCCCCTTCGGCCTCTCCACGTCTTGCCAGACGTTGTGCTGGAGCAAGTGCCTCTTATTCAGTGCCTGGGAGGGCTGAGAAGTGGGTCTGTGTCTCTGAAGTGTGGTGAGGGGACAAAGACCCCTCAGATAACTCGGTCAATGGCTCAGTGTTCGCTCCCGAAGCAGGGCCGGGGTGCTGAGCGTGCTGGGTGGAAGGAGGCGTTTCATGTGGACTGAAGGAATTCCCAGCTCAGCTTGGCACTCAGCAGAATAATAATGCAGGCAAATCACTTGTACCTTAATGAGACGCGAACCCATCAAGAATTAGCCAGGGCTGGGGTTTATTTATGTCTCTCTTCACACTCCTCATGGGAGCCTGCGTTGCTCAGTGCATGGTCTTCCCCTTGCAGCCTCGCAGATGCTTTGAGTACTGTTAGGCAATGTCTTTTTGATATGGTGGCTTAAAATAAAACCTAATTCACAGGGGATTTCTTCAGTGCCTCTGAGTAGATGCCTTGTTTCCTTTGGTGCAGCACATGAAGGTGAGGAAAACTCCTAAGACACCATGAAGTTGAAATGGGTTTTAGCTTTTGATATCAGGCGAAGGAGGAAAGTAACGCTCCCTATGCAAGCTTTAGGCAAAACCGCTAATTCAGCAGAGGAAATCTTTATTCTTCTTGCTGCCCTTGTGGTGCCCGGGCTGCCTGTGCAGCATGGACACTTGAAGGGAAGGAGAGGGCAAACAAGCAGCTCTTGGCTGCACACAAAGCAGGTTTCTGTGGGGTGGTGCCCTCCTTCTCACAAGGCTCCATAGCGCAGCAAATCTTTGGCTCCCTCAAGAGTCAATCATGCGAGAGGAGGGAGGCACGTCTCCCCATAGACAGGGAGCCTGTAGCATCACAGAGAGCCCTGACCTCTGCCTGGTGAGAACAGGTCCCGTAGCTCAGCCATAGAATCATAGAATAGTTCGGGTTGGAAAGGACCTTAAGATCATCCAGTTCCACCCCCTTGCCATGGGCAGGGACACCTCGCTCTAAATCATCTCACCCAAGGCTTCGTCCAACCTGGTCTTGAACACTGCCAGGGATGGAGCATTCACAACCTCCCTGGGCACCCATTCCAGTGCCTCACCACCCTCACAGGAAAGAACTTCCTCCTTAGATCCAATCTAAACTTCCCCTGTTTCAGTTTTAACCCATTACCCCTTGTCCTGTCACTGCAGTCCCTAATGAAGAGTCCCTCCCCAGCATCCCTATAGGCCCCCTTCAGACACTGGAAGCTGCTCTGAGGTCTCCACGCAGCTTCTCTTCTCCAGGCTGAACAGCCCCAGCTTTCTCAGCCTGGCTCCATACAGGAGGTGCTCCAGCCCCTGAGCATCCTCGTGGCCTCCTCTGGACTTTTGAGTCCCTTTGAGAGTTTCCATCTTTCAGGTAAAGGAGGGTGCCTGAATTCCTGCTCCGAAAGAGCCGCATCCTCCTCTTCTTGCGGCTGCGTTGGCTCTTGACACCAGAAGCTGTGCTGCCGGTGCGCTGGGGATGTGTGTGAGTCCCGGGGGATGGACAGCCTTTGCAGCACGGGATTTGGGTTCATGGTGAAGGCAACTGAGCCCACCTCCTGGTGTTTTGCAGTTGCTTTGGTCTGATATTGGTTGGATGAAACTTGGGTCCTTGGCACTGCCTCTCCCCACCAGTTTACAGGCACTGGGCTGTGGGCTTGGTTTTCTTCCCCCTTCTAATTGCCTAGGGCATGTGCGTAACCATCAGTCAGTGCAGCAGGGAATTGCTGTTTCCAAGGGACATCTTTAGCCAGGGCTAATCTCCATTTATCATCTGCCTCCTCCTTTAGAAACACTACATAAGGAAGCAGGGTGTTGACAGGCTGATGGGGTCTGCCCTGGGGGAGGTCATAGGTGATGGCTTGATTCATTGCTGCGGCCACTTAGCTGCAAATTGGGCATTAACTTTTGGAACTCTGAAAGGAGCCATTGGTGTGAAGGAAGTGGATGTTTGATGCCATTGCTTCAATTCTCCATCTCCCTGGCTCTGAATATTGTAACGTCTTTAACACATAGCTCCCAATAACAAGCAAATGGTGGCTGTGCTGAGCAAAGAGCTCCCTGTGACCACGGGCTCTTCAAGTGTCTCACCCCTGAGCACCTTCTCCTTCTTGTCCCCTCTGCAGTGGCAAGGGGAGACTCAGGAGTTCTGCCCCAATGCAAAGATCGTGCTGGTGGGCTGCAAGCTGGACATGCGGACAGACCTGAACACGCTGCGGGAGCTCTCCAAGCAGCGCCTCATCCCTGTCACACACGAGCAGGTACGTTCAGCATCCGCCCCGCTGGGGCTGTGCTGCGGGACCTACTGGATAGGGAAGCTCAGCAGCAGATGAGCCACCGTGCCCAGGTCTTGGTCTGAAGCTGGTTTATGCTGGCTCATGGGCACTGAGCTGCTCATGCTGACAGCACTCTTCCCCAGCTCTGGCAGCCCTTGACCTATTCCTGGTGCTCTGCACAGCAGCCTCCTTGTTAGGAGCTGATGCAGTGGAGATGCCCGATTTGACAAGCTGGACTGGCTAAAGGGGAGCGTTGTGCTCCTGCAGCTCCTTCAGCTCCAAGTGACCCTGCTGTTGGGGAGCACTGCTGGGGATGGGGGAACCACAGCCGGGCGGGCTGGGATGTGCTGTGGCTCTCAGTGAACCCAGCAGTGTCTATGGGCTGGCTGCAGCCCCACTGTTCGGTGCACTCTGGGTTGCTCTGTGCCTGGCTCCACACTGTGCACAGCAGCTCCCAGGTAACTGTCCCAGTAAGCGGGGTTATCCAGGGCCCTGCTGCAGGGCTGGCACTGCCTTGGTGACAGGCACTTGCTAGCACTGCTGGGGAGGCCACCCTCGCATCTGGTGCTCTCCCAGCCCTTAGAGAGGCGATGAGTAAACCCTGTGGGCGCTCTGGCAGGGCAGTGAAAGGATGCTCTTGCAGAGCGCTGCTGTCCTAACCCGTTCCCCCTTCCCTCCCGCTCCCTCCGGAGCACAGGGCAGCGCGCTGGCGCGGCAGATCGGGGCCGTGGCCTATGCCGAGTGCTCCTCCAAGGTGTCCGAGAACAGCGTGCGGGATGTGTTCCACGTGACCACGCTCGCCTCCGTCAACCGGGTGCACAAGAACTTGAAGCGCAGCAACTCCAAACGGGGACTGAAGCGGGCGTCACAGATGCCCGGCAGGACGGACTTACTGAGCGACGCGGAGATGAGGAAAGAGCGCGCCAAGAGCTGCTCCATCATGTGAAAGCCCGGCTGTAAATAACGTCTGTGTGTTGTCCGTTTTGTACAGGGACTGGCGGGGACAAGGCTGCGTGGCCAGCCTGCCTTTCCAAAGCCTTTCTCTCAAGTCCCTAGGGCTGAGCAAAGGTCCCAGCTGCAAATAGGGGTGCACAAGTTGCCCCTTCCCATGGAGACTTCTGGGTTGGCTGCTGCTGCTGCGTGGATTGCTTGGGGTGAAGGAGCCACTTGGCAGAGTATTCAGGTGCTGGCAGGTCTGAGACTGGGGGAAAGGGAGTGATCCTGTGTGTGCCACCCCTCCTGCTCCCATGGCCCAGCCTCTGTGCCTGTGTGCAGCTAGAACACACCCGCAGCGTGGTGCTGTGCGGGACCTGGGCTGGAGGGTGGGAGAGGGGTGGTGTTGCCAGCAGCAGCCTGCAAGCAGAAGGTGTTCTTCCTATCTTCCTTCAGAAGAGAAATGATGTTTGAGGTGGTGCTGCCCTGAGCTAGGCTGGACAGCAGATCACCATGGAAGGTGCAGGTCTGGGAGGGATGGGATGTCCTGGGAAGGAACCTTAACCCAACAAGGCACCGCAGTAGCCCACCTCCTCCTGTAGATAGGTGGCTCTTTTCATGCTATTTTAGGTACTTGAGGTCCATATGGAGCGCAGCAGAGTGCATCTGGCTCCAGGGGAGAGGTCTATCCCAGTAGCTGCATCCCTCACTGTGGCTCCTTCAGCAAGCAAATGCTGCTCGGGAGCTGGGGGTCCCTGCTGCTGAGAGCCTGCTCACTCATCAGCCTGCTCCTGCCACGCTTCTGAGGCAGCAGCCTGCCATAACCATCCATACCCTGCTCTCCACCCATTCCCAGCTGCAGCTTGTGTTGCATGGTGCTGTGTTTGTCTGGTCCAGGTAACCGAAAGGATTACATGAGTATCTGCACCCTGTCTCCACTGTGGCTGTGGGAGGGAAGGTGCTCGTTCCCCTCCTGCCTGCTGGAAGCCTCCTCCCACACCTCCCATTGCTTCTGCTGCTGTCCTCTCTAAATGCCTTTGACTACAGTGTTCGCCTTGACTTCATGTCACATAGACACTTTAAGGAATAAAGAATCTGCCCATTGCCAGGTCCAGCTGTGTCAGTGGGTTCAGAAAGCAAATAAACCTGGTTGGAAAACGCACAGCTCTTGACTCTGCTCATTTGTCATAGCCAGAACCAGGCATCCTCTCACAATGTTTTGCTGCTCAACTGCTCTTTGTGTCCTAATGCATCTCCAGCTCTTGAAATACTCTCACACACCTGAGAGAAGAGCAGAGGACTGCTGCATGTATTCATTTGGAGGCTGAAACACCTGCCTTGAATAACCTTACTCCATCCTGAATCCTCAGATGCTGCGGAGCATTGGCAGGTTGTCTGTGTCTGTCTTAGGGGGATGATCACAGCTTTCACACTGCAGCCTGTCTTTTCGCAGCCACTGAGAACTGCAGAGAACGAAGGATGCTGATGGTCCTTCAAACCTAGCAGCAAGCAGTCAGTTCTCTGCTGCTTCCATCCACAGTGCACCTGGTGCCAATATGCCTCGAGGTTGGAGGTATCGGGCAGGAGGAACGTGGAGCTGTGCAGGAGCATCCCCATCTTCAGTTCAGGGAGCTGTTTGTGTGTGTTGGATGCTGTGCTGGTGCAGGCACACACTCCTGTTGAGGCCAGAGGAAACACATGTGTGTGGATCAAGCCTTGCAGCTCAGAAGCAGGGGGCTGCATGAGCACTGTTCATTACAGTGGGCTGGTGTGGCTGGGTGTTAGCTAAGGGGACACGGTACCCTTGACTCCTGCATTGCCAATGGAGGGAATCAGGTCCCCCCCAACTAACGACTTCAATCACTACCAGTAGCTTCTGGTCTAAATCCCAGCCTTGAGAGCTCTTGCTCAACTGGGAGTGCTAGATCCTGGTTCTGTCTTACATGGTGTGAACTCAGCTCTGTGCTGCTGAATGGCAGCTCGACACAGTGCCCGTCCTGGTGCAGTGCTCATCTCCAGCTCGCAGGCATGGGACACGAGGCTCCACATGCATGGGCTGCCTGTGGCAGATGAGTCAGCGCAGAGAAGAAAGGAACAAAACCGTGCAGATGGAAGAAGTGGAACTGACACATAAAAGACAAGTGGGGAGGACTCGAGGCCTCTAATTACTGCCTACAGAAAAGTCTATGAGCAGCACTGCCAGTGCAGGTGTCCTGCTTGGGAAACATTCCATCTCTATGGGGCCGGATGAGCAGCTAGCTGGGTGGGACAGAGCCCCCTCAGCCTGCAGCACGCAGGAAGCAGTCTGCTCCTGAGTGTGGTACCTTGGTAACCCTCTTAAAGGCCACATCTCCCCCAGGAGAGCTGTGCACCAGCTGCTCCTGCAGGGATGGTGCCCCATCAGCATGCTCAGAAGCCCATAGCTTTTGGGGAAGGACCAGTAGCAATGCCCCACTGCAGGAGGAGGGGTTTGGGGAGGGTGAGGTCTGACACCAGGGCTGCACCATCCTGGGCTGGGCTCATGAGGGGTCACTCAAGTGACAGAAGCAAAACAAAGGTGCAAGAACTGGGTCTCTCAGGTCCTGTGTGGTTTTGTGCCCTCCCTGAGTGGGTTTACCCACCTCACTCATGTCTCCTGTGGCCCCAGCATCACTTGGCATTTGCCAGCTCTTTGCAGCAATCTTGCTGCTCTGGCCAAAAGCAGCCTGGAGCAATCCCCACCTTTCAGCACCCAGGAGGGATCTGAACACGAGTCCAAGCTGTTGGTGAGGACACAGACACATTACTGAAAGGTTAGACCCTCAGACAACCCTACCAGGCTGCTCATGCCCTTTAGATGATCCTATCCCTACCTCAGCAACATTCTCCAGCTATCACTGAAGCAGACACTAAGCAGGGGACTGGTTTCAGCTGTTTTGTGCCCAGAGTATTAGAAAGAGCACTAGGAGGTGCCACAGGGAGGAAGGCAGATGCATGAGGACACAGCCTGGTGTGACACTGCAGCAGAGCCATCAGAACACTGGAGCAGTGTCAGTGCTGCGGTTTGTGCCTGTGCATGGATGGGAAGAGATGAACACAGGAGCCTGGCACTGTGCTCAGCTTTAACCAGCACCATTAACCCCTCACAGTCATGGCAAATGGATAATGTGGAAAAGAGATGCCAGGCTCAGAGCATGCATCAGAGGCCAGAAGCAGAGAGGAGACACTGGGGTTCCTGGCTCTGCTTTGGTTTTCAGTGCTAACCCCCCTATATCTAAGAAGAGACTGAGAATCATTGATCCAAGGTGAAACTGGAATTGTAAGTGAACCACTTGCCTTTGCCGTGTGTTTCCTCTGACCCCGGCTGATTTCTACAACTGTCACTTAATTAATCATCTGATTGCATTTCATCAATCAGCCCATTGTAATTCATTGAAATGTATGCATGCAAACCGGCAAATGCTTCTCCCAGGAAGGGCCTCGAGGGAATGTGCTGTCAGCAGCAGCAGCGCTCTGGGAAGCTTGTTCCATTTATATAAAGGAATAAATACAACTGCTGATGACTTCATGGCCTGAATATTAACACAGGTGATGAAACAGACTTCTTCTGCAGGTACCAGCGGGCCAGGCCTTGGCTGGGGAGGCTCATAAACAGAACCTCCTCCCTGAGCATTGTGCTGCACAAATGTACTCTTGGCTCTTGCTTTATCTCCACAGAAAGGCGGAAAGGGAGGCACAAAGGCAGATAGGAAAGATAACGATGTGCAAGACACAGCTGAAGTTTCCTCCTCCTCTTTGAGTCAGCTTGTTGACATCCAGGTAGTGGAACAAGCCTGGCCTGTTGCTTTGACATTGGAACTGAGATTGAAGAGTGGCTCCTGCATGGGTACCTCATGACTGACTACTAGTAGCCCTCTTTGTAGTACATGGGCTCTGTCTATGCTGCAGGCTGCTGAACCAGGCTGTGTTGCTGCAGTTGCCTTTTCCTTCAGGCCCACGTAGGCACCTCTACACCATGCTGTGGTCTGCAGCAGAGATGGCTCCAGCACCTCATCAGGCACTTCTGTCTCTGTCTCCTTTGTCCCCGTTGCTCCCAGTGCTTGGCTCTAGGTCCGGCTGCTCTGCACACAGTTCATTTGGAGTTATGAGCTTTATGATAAGTTCTGGATATTTCAGAGAAAGGAAAACCGTTTAAAACAGTTGGCAACCTCTTTGCCTTAGGAAAACCACCTCTCAGGAGCACATTTCTGTCCCATCACAAGAACTGAAGTTTCTACTTGAATTCAAGACCAAGAAGTATGTCCAGGACATGTTGTTGCAAGTAAAAGTTCACCTATATCCCATAGAGCTGACATAATTCCATTCAGTGGCTATGCTTTCCCAGCCTTCTGCCTCCATTTACGGGATCAGTTAGAGACATCTCATGTAAAGATGTTGGTTTCCAGATTTTACCAGCTGGAAGCATGAGAAAGTGACACTGCCTCCCTGCACGGTGACCCCCAGCACTGCAGCTCAGCCTTACCTTTTACAGCTGTTTTTGTTACAATCCTCTATAATTGTGGGGATCTGAAGAACCGCTCTGCAGCTCAGATGTAAGCCCATGTCTTTACCTGTTCACCTATGGAGGGCTTTCCCCACACCCAGCCCCATTCCCAGCTCCTGCTTTTCATGTACACCAGCAGGAAACCTTGTACTTGTTCTGGTACCATTCAGGAAAACAGCAACCCCGGAGCCTGGTTGCCAGAGTGAGCTGAAGATCAAGAAAGGGTCAGTGGTTTCTAGAGAGCTGCTGGTGGTGAGCAGCAAAACAAGGAGCTGCCGCTGTACAGCGGAGCGGCTGCATTAGCATTGCCAGCACACACTTGCACAGATGCATGTCTGGTTGCTTGGTGAGGGTAGAATCAGCTTAGCCTTCTCTCCCCTCCCCTGCAGCTCTCAAGAGGGGTATTATCTGCAGGACACACCACACAAAACTGCCGCCAATTCAGTGACCCTAGCAAAAATATGATTAGGAATTAAAAGATGAATAACCCTGTGCTCAGCAGCTCTCAAGAACTGATGCTTTTCAAGCCTAAGTTGGTGGTAAGCACAAAACAAATAGCACATCCTTTCAAATAGATGAACCTGCATAGAGAAGAATGAGTTGAGTCTAACGTGTGTTTGACTTGAGAGCAACTGTAGCAGCCTCCTCTAGTTCTGTAACCTCCTGGTAATACATTTAATACACAGCTAAGAAAGGCACATAGTGCAACTTGCACTAAAGCCTCCCTGCACAAACCCTGCAGGGTCTGAACAGTGCTTTTGCAGTGTTGGGATCACAGCTGAGATTCTAAAGGAGAGACAGCAAATACCCAGGACAACATAAAGAGAAGATGAAGCCCTTCAGTGCTTAACCCCAGCTTGCATCACCTACCTGTGAAGCAGGTGAGCTCATGGGCATTTTCTACCATGATGGATTGTTACAGATTGTGCACAAGGTTTTTATTCATAATATCAGCAACATAAAACCAGACCCAAGATGAGACATTCCAGCAGATCCCCCAGAATAATTATAGGTACAGACTGAATATTTCTTTGATTCACCATTAGCTCTAGTAATGAGTCAGACAAGTGCTCTAATTGCATCCCTGAGTAAGCTGCTTCCTTATAAATGGCTTCAGATCTGCAAGGAAATAACTCTCTGTGTATGGATCCAAATGTAGAGGGAGGATTTTAAAAAGTAAACTACTTCAGCAAAAAGCTATGCAGTAGTCATTCACCAGTGGTAGGCCAGGTACCAAAACATGCCCAACCTTACAGAATTCAAAGGAGCACTGTTTTAACGTTAAGGCACCCACAGAGAAGCCACAGAATGAAGTTGTTGCAAGATACCCTTGCTGAGCAAATCCCTACCATCCCAAACCACAGGCAAGCTCTTGCCAGTCTCCTTTTGCAGGGCAGGAGCAGTTGGTTTGGCAAACAGACGCTGCTAGGGCTGGGATGCCTCCAGCAGCAGAGGGGTATGCACACTGAGCAGTAACAGAGCTCAGGTTCCTTGCAAGCTGACCCTGCTCCAGAAAAGCTGCTGTTAATTTACAAAAGCAGAGCAGTTCTAATTACAAATACAGCACTTGCCTGCTGGCAGCGCCTCAGGCAAACCTCCAACCAGCACCAGCCTATACTTTGTTTCTTCCCTCTCTTTAGGGAATAGTATAAAAGACACATGCTGCTGACTAGGATAGTGTGTATGCAGCTGCTTTAACTACCCGTCTAGTCCTTTCATGGTGCTTGATTCTGCTACTTGTTACCCTGAGGTAACCACTGTAAAAGGCACAGCATGGCCTAGGCATGTCTCAAAACTGCATTCCCAGGGGAGGAAGCCTCTGAGTTGAGGTGCCATGAAGCTGCACATGAGCAAACAGGGAGGAACTGCAGCTTGACCCTCATGTATAAAATGGCATTTCCAATCCACAGAGTAGCTGTGAAGCTCCAAGTGCTGGGCTTTATTACCGAAGCTGGAAGGCAGATTGGAGAAGTCAATATGGATTTGATCAAGGCCACATCAGCTCCCCTTAAACCATCTACTTCTCTGGAAACATGGCCCTCCTTTAGCTAGCTATCTGCTTAGTCAAACCCTTTCCCTTCATTCACATCTATATGAGATAGAGATTACTCCAGGAATTTACAGATGATAGCTGCTTTATCAGAAACAGGGTTTCCACAGCTCCAGTCACCTCCAAGGAGGAAGGGCAACGTTGCAGGCGTCACTCCAGCAACAACATAGCAACCCTTCAAGCAATGTGGGCTCTAGAGATAAGAGAAGCATCACTCTGAAGGGGAAGCTGGTACAACAGCCTCAATAGTTAAGAAATATTGTCACACAGAAGCAAACAGTGAGGTATGGCAGCTGAACAAATGCTTCCAGCACTTACACTACCAGGAGCAATGCCTCATTAAGGGAACATTGGCTTTCACTTGGCAACTGCAGGACACTTGATAACACACTGGCTTCTCAGGTCAGTGGAAACTACAGTTCTGATTCCAGTCCCCAAATTGTAATTTACATTTTTGGCCTCCTCCAGTCAATCCCCACTTGCAGGAGGCTGACTCCAGATGCGATTCATATTCAACTCATTGCAGAGACTGAGTGTTTCACATCACAAACTGAATAAATAAGGAAATCACTTTCCAAACTCATTTCCTTTGAGCATTCAGTATTTCTCAACAGACTTTCTGTACTTCCCAAGACAACCCAGCAGCATTCCAGCACTGAACAATTCTCTGAACTTAGCTACATTTTTCTTTAAACAACAACTTTCTGAAAAGAGGTTCTCTTTCTGCTTTGAAGTCCAAGATCATCTGTGAGGGGAATTGCTTGGCAACAGAATCAAGCAACGTATTTTCAGCCATAAGAAAGCAATTTATTTTCTTTGCAGCCTCATTTTGCAGGCAGGGGCTATTAAGAAGTAGCTTCTTAAAGGGCTTATTATAGGTCACTGGTATACTAAAGTGCATCTGTATGTTATTCCTCCATTGGTGCCTCATACACTTCTCAGATGTAAGACTGACACAACACTGGTAAAGGCTGGTGGTTTTAAGGCTTGGTTTATGTTGAGAATCAAGTGCTGGTTTTCCTGTACTTGGTGATAATTTCCCTGGTTAGGGCAAGCTGTCACTTCTCTATATGAGAGGAGCTGTTTGTACAGTTTTCAACACAACTGTAATCCCCAGCCTGAGCTTAACCCGGCTGACACATTAGTAATCACAAAACAGCATTCCATCATATCAGTGCACACCCTTATTCAGGGCGTTTACGCAAAATGAAAAGATGGAGGTTACTTGGCAGTGGAAGTATGTTTTCATTCAAGCCCTGAGATCAATATTACTCTTTTAAATGACTTTCTCCAAGATGGCCTCAGGTAAGAAACAAGAACTTACTGCAATGGTAAATAATACTTGACCATTTCTCTGAGGAGGCCACATTCTACAGTTTCTAACTTTTCAAATCTGTTTTCCATTAATTTAAAGGACTATTTTAAAATTGGAAATGTTAATCTTTAAAGAACAGTGGGCAATTCCATCTTTATATGGTAATGTTGTTCAAGTAACTTTATTGTTAATACAAATGTAGTTATCTTACTCTGAACAAGACCATTACATACACATAATCTCTGCATAAGTGACTTCAAAATTTCCAGTCCTTAAATAATTACCAAGCCATCAGCACTGATGAGAATTTCTGAGCTGGAAGAAATGCAGCTCAGCCTTAGGACACAAGGTAAGCATCAAACTCCTGGCACTCATAGCAAGCAACACTGTCTAATACCCACTCGCGAGTCACCATGGCAACATTGTCCTTTTGCTGGATTGCTGTAAGACAAAGACACAAACCATAAATCTGTTATTAGCGAGTCAAAGCAAGCTGAAGGTAAACTTATTGATGTCTTCTTTCAGATTAAGCTATTTGCTTTACCATCGACATTTTAAAGGCCTTGATAAAAACACCCCAAGTCTCAAACCAGTGATGTGACACTACTCCTGCTGCAAACAACGCAGGTAACAGTGCTGCTCCAAAGAGTAGCTGCTGGGCAAATGGTGAGGCAGGAAGATGTGAACACCACAGAATAAATACCAACAGCAAAGAGTGCAGCCCTTGCTGCCTTTTCATTGAGGACTGGTGACAGAGTCTCAGGTCCTGTCAGCTCAAGCATACTGAGTATGTGATGAGCAACAAGTCTCATGGAGAGAAGCAATAGAAAATCACCAAAGTGCTCCCTGCCTGTGCTTCACCAGTTCAGGATCTTTATTTTCTCATTTTTTCCCAGTGCCATGGAAATAGCTGTTGGTTTTACATCATCCTCCTGCTTCTCTTTTTTGTTGAGCTTTGCTGTAGCCTAACTAGCTCCCATTCATCCCCTAACTCCCACTCTCTCATGCAGAAGTCACTCTGGAACACCTGTATTGGCAAAGTCTGATGGTTTCTCTGGAGGATTTTGATTTAAAAAGTAGGAAAAATAATAAAAATAAAAAGGCAAAGCTACATCCTGCTCTGCAGCTCCTGCTCTGCAGTTTCATATTCTTTCCAGACCAAGAGAATCCTGTCTGAGGCTCCAAGGGCACGCTTCCACCTTTTAGAAACCATCTCCAATGAGAAAAGTTTCTGTAAGACTGCTGCTGAGCCAAGAACAGGATTTGCCTGCCAGGCTACCTTAAGACCTATCTAATGCTGATTCTTGAGATAATATACCTTGTTCTTCCAGAGTTTTCCGAGACATACCTCCATCTCCAGGTACAGCAGGATTTTATTTCAATTCCTCTACAAACCTCTCTGATGCTTAACTATTAAAAGGGCTGAGGTGAGGAAGACACTCAATGTGTACCATAAAACAGTCCACGACAGTTGTTTTACCTCTATAATCTGTGTTTTCCATCCAAGCATCTGGCTGCACAACCACGACAGCAGTAGAATTCTAGGATTGCAAGACAGAAAAACACAAATGCTGCTGTTATCTGTGTGTCATTAAATGACTCTCACACCCGTCTGCAGAGAGTGATAACTGGGCTAACTCTGCTTCAGCACATCAATTCAGAGAGGACTTGAAGAATTGGTAGTCAAGGGAGAAAGATGCAAGTCCTTAAGAACTGTCTGTGATTTCGCTGTGATTTTCTGTGACTAAGCACTGAAGGGTTTTTGTGCTGGAAAGTGAGGCTCAGTGCTGGTTTCAGAGAGTGCTATGATCAGTTTTCCTCTCCAAGTTTGCCTGTCTTCCAACACAGTGACCAGAGCCTAGAACACAAGAACTGTTGCTGTGCAGTTCGGCATCACTGTGCAGCCACTTCTCTACCATACCTGTATATATTAGCCTTTGACAAGCCCATGAAGGCCATGTAATCTTTCAACATGTTGTGTATTACCCAACTATAGACTCTTCACAATGTCAAGTGTAACATTCAGTAACACTTACTGGAGGGTGTGTGAACAGATGAAGCTGCTTCACAACAGAGGCACCACAAAGCTCCACCATCCATTCGAGATGTTCTGAAGAAAAATCAGACAAACAGCCTATTACTTTCAATGTTTTCTATCACATTGAAACTGATACTATTCCCTAAGCCCTCATGTCTTTGTTCCAAGACACAAACAACCATAATTTGGAAGACATTTAAGCCTTAGTAGAGAATAAGTGCCTTCAGATTCTAGCCTGCTGAGGAACAACTCACTCTTCCCTCAGTCAGGACTAAACAAAACCAAACCCCTGACGCAGCACAATAGCACATGCACAAACCAAAGAGAAAGCCACTCACAATTTATTTCCTTTTATCATAAGGATGTAAACCATGAAATTCAAATTCAAACCCATAAGTCAGAACTGCAATTCTCTCTCATTAACAGAAGTAGTTAAAGTGTTTAATTTCACCAATCTGTTGAACTGATACTGAAGAAGAGAAATAAGACTCTCAAGTCTAAGAGCCAGAACTGATGATCACTGCAGCAGGTGAAAGCACTGCATCCTCTGCAGTAATTACTGTAAATGTCAAGAGATGTGAGGATATTTTACCCAGTCAAAAATGAAGTTAAATTGGACAAATCAGAAAGGAACTGCTGAATAAGTTACAAAAAATGGGAAGAGAGGTATAAATATTTTTAGGTAACAAAAATCGAGCTGAAATTTTCAGATTTAACAAAAAGCAGCTTTTGCTTTGCATAGAAATTTGTGCTTTGTTGTGTGTTTCAGTTTTAACATCTGCTTCTAGAGAAGATTACACTGATGATGTGTCAACTGCTACAAAAATGATACTTAGGTAGGTTTTGCTAAAAAATGTTAACTAAGAAGGAAAAAAATGCTTAAATACAAGTTCAATAGCATGTAAAGCAACTGCCAGACAGCCTGATATTAATGCTGTTCCTTCACTGCTAGAAACTAGATAAAAGGCCTGCTTTGAAATAGAGTGAAATTGCCAGAGCCGTTCTCTGAGGACAGCCAAATAGAAGAGAACACCACTTTGTTCTACCTGGAGATAGAACTGGGTAAAGTTCTTTACCTCTGCCTCGTGGAGGTGTTTTGAAAATGTCAGAGTAAGAAGGACAAAAGCATCCAAGAAGAGGTCAGATATAAACCTCTGGTGAATGGCCACAACCCCCTTCCAAATATTTCTTGTACTAAGAGTTTAATTCCACTCAACTGACACACCTGTAGTCATATCAGTGAAAGGGCCATAGCAACAGATCTCAAAGCCTTCAAAGATCTGAAAAACAAGGAACATGTTAACAGAGTACGTATGGTGTCTTTAAAGGACAACACTTCACATGCTTGGTTCATTGCCCTTCTAGGACTGGTTACTAAGCTATCACTGTTTTACAGAATAGATCTTAAGCTCTTTGTAACCTACAAAACTTCACCAGTCCCCCTGTTTCAACCCCCAAAACCTGTGCTATCTTAAACCAGTTATAAAAAGGATAGCATTCACTCTAAGCAGAGTGAGCGAGGACCTTATCTCCTCTCCTCTGCTGCTGACAGAGCTCACTTTCATCTCTAGAAATGCTGAATTTGTACAAATCTCTGTATAGAGAACAGCAGAGAAATGGGAAAAGGTTCTACATGTTCAGTTGGCATAGCCACATATCTGTAACAGTCACAGCAGAATAGGGTTTTCATCCCCAACGTGCTCATACCTTTTTAGTCAGAGACTGCCTAGCTCTCTTAGGACCTTGGTGGTTTCTCCCATTGATTACATCTCCTCTAACTTCGAAGTTCTCCTGCAACATAACAAACAAAAATTGTGGTCTTCATTATAATTAGAATTGAATCTATGATCTATGATAACTGAAGGCTCTTCTCCTTGCTTCTGTGAGAGTGTATGACAATGTGTCGCATGTTCTAGCACTTCCAGTTGATGCTGTAGCAACTTCCCCTTTTCACCCAAGCACAGGAAGGCTTTTAATACACCCTCCTAGGGTCTTTTTGGGGCTAAGGCTTTTCTTCTTGGCTTGCCAAAAGGGCATATGGATTTTCTACCTGAAAGTGGCATGCCTGCTCATTAGATACATGAAATCCATCCGGTGTCACTATGACATTCTCCAAAAATATGTACTAGAGAATGAAAATCCAAATACCACCCAGGAACACAAAAATCCACCTAAGTCAGGGTCATAGCAAATAAACCATTGCTACCAGGAGAGGCAGTAAATGCTGGAATGGATTTTCAGTAGCTGGGTATTCTAAAGTTTAAAAATAAACCAAAAATATGTGTGTAGCTCTGTCCCGACAGTATTTCCTTTACAAACAATAGATCTTTTCCTCTAGGCTGTCATCCATCACTTAGAAAAAAAATATGCCTAACTTGTTGCAAAAAACTGTTAAGGACCCATTATACCTTCAGTAACAATGAAGACACATAGCCCAAGTGTGGCTTTTGGTCTTAGCATATGCTAAGGTTTACAAAGCCGAATTCTCATATATTAAATATATAGACAATATCTGAGTTTACTCTAATAGATCTCTCAATGTGATAGCATTAGGCATTTGAGATTTCACTCTTAAGCTAAAAGACCTACCTCATTCAATATCCTTCCTTCTTCAAAAGACTGAATTACCCCTAAAGAAAAAGATCAGAACAGAAGAAGTCATTTTATGCAGCAAAATTGTTCTTCCACTGCCAACAGTTTGATTTTAAAGTATTTAGAAGAAACCCTGCAACATGAAGAGACATGAAGAGATCCTTTTTTGGAAAAAGTGAAAAGTACATTTCTGGTAGAAGGGCAGAGACCATTCAGCTCCAAACCAAGTTATACTTACAGTGATAACTAACCACCCATTTTCTTCCTGCAATACCCAGGAAGTACTTCAGTGTCCGTTCACACACCAGCTCCTTATCTGCAGAGCGAAAAAGAGAAGTTCTTTCAGCTTGCCAACAGTGAAAAAACCTCAAAACAGCTCAGGTTATTTGTACCTAAAAGCAAAAGGTTTTGCTAAGTGCAGCAGCAGAATATCAAAACCATCTATAGAAACATTGCCGTGTCCTGATTCTACTAAACAGAAGGAGATGAATGGAAGCAAATCACATACACAACTTCTGAACTCTGTTTTTGTCATTCAACAAAGACAAAAGGCAAAACAAGCACAAATATTAGTTGAGAGAGAACAGCAACAGTAGGATTCAGTGCTAATGTTGGCAGGAACTTTTAGATGACTAGTCACATAAGATCATCTTTTACTCTACCAGAACAAGTACAACTTCAAGAGGCAGTTTATCTTATTTGAATTTGTATGAAGACAAAACCATATACCTCTCCAAAAGCATATGGTTGTGCTGTTTATCACACTCTTCCTGAAGAAAAGGGCAAAAATTGAGTTCATGTATTTGGAATAACTGGATTTTCTGGCTCCTTTCCTCTGTTGGTTTTCAAAAGCAAGAAAGGCTTATGTGACTGACAGATTGTATCCAAATATGAGCAAGCTACAAGTGCTTCTACGAAGCAAAATGCAAGCATAGCATAGAACATCCCCACATCCAGATTTGGCTCAAAATAGCTTGTTTTTTAAACCATTGGTTAAAAGCTATGCCTAGATGCAGCAATAAAATAACTTAATTTTCCCGATTAATGTTTTGCTTTGCTCAAGTCAACATAATGCTGTTTCAGGATACATTTGTCAAATGTATAACTGTAGTATTGTACCAAGTTCCTTTCAACTTCTAATAATAGGATTCTTGAGCTCTACCAAAGAGCAAAACCCAACTTAAGTACCTTAACTAAGCCCACAAATAATAGTTAGGATGAAATAGTGCTGCTTTGTTCCTATGGAAGCACAACTTCACTATCACCTACCAGCAGTTATACACACAGCAAAGTTCCAGTTGTTTGCTTCTGTTGAAACAATACCTTCTCCTCAAGCTTACTCAGATGTACTGCTGAGCTGTCTTGCTTGTTGGTTAGCTTAGAGTTAACATTCTACATAGTGTATATATCCAGGATTAGTTCACATAGCTCCCAACAAACCTGTTTTCATTATGACGTGGGTGGTTCCTTCAGTAACATGATTAGATAAAGTGCTATGAGTTTTTCTCACAAACTTCTGGACCACCAACTGAAAAGTAGTTGAGAAAATAAATAGTTAGCAAAACAGATTAAAACCCCCAACTACTCCAGTTTATTGAAGTACAACATAGTAAGAGAGTTACTTCAAAGTCCTAGATTTATTTGTGTTGGCACACAGAACATACATTTCTTCACAAGTCAATAACTTTGGCACCATTCAAAGGGCTAAAGCAAAGAGCTCTGGGTCAGTAGTTTCTAAAAAAAAAGCCATATCCTCCTGGACATGGAGGTTTATTAACGAAAGAGGTTTATTAGCAACTCAGAATTGATTAATTACAGGAACTCTCATTTTCGTTTAGAATTTGGGTAATGAAGCAGCATCTGAGAACATTCAGGGAACCAACCACAAGCCCCCTCCCTTCCAAGCCACCAGCCTTTCTAGAAGTGAAATCCTCTTCATTTGGAATAACTGGATTTTCCCACAGGCATTCATTTTAAAAAGTTCAAATTTCACTAAGCTGAACTGTGCCATTTACAGGAAGCATTCTCAGATTTTTAGGAGTGAAAAGGTTTGACCTGAGTTGCTGTATTGCTAATCTGCAGGCCTGTAAGATTAGTTTCCATTATACTTCCCATTTTCTATTTATGTTGAGGACTATAATAATCAGGAATGCTTAACAAGTGACCTCAAACTTCTTGAATATACTTACATGTTCACTTTGACTCAGGCCTGATGCCACAATTGACATTGCTTTCCTGTTAATCACAACTGGACTTGTAAGATTTTCTTTCCCAGCTGCATTGTGCAGAGCAGATAGAGGAAAACACACGCTTCTTTCTGACTTGCTGTCTTGAGCACAGCTTTTATTAGCTTTCTGAGTCACTACAGAACTATTTGTTGCATCTGTAGTTCGAGGGTTAAGAAGTCTTACAGAGGAGGAAGAGTTATTTGAACTCTTGGTCACATTTCCAGAGAGATTTGATAAGACAGATGCACTGCTTAACCTGGTCCCACATTTCTGCTCATCTGCATTTTCTAAAGTAAAAGAGAAATTACACATTGAAACAATTTTGTCTTCCTTTTAGTCATGGAGCAAGGCTGTTGCTCTGCCTTGAAGTTTAAATATGCAGTCACTTCCTCTCCTTATTTGTGTATTACTTCACAATTGCCTCCATCATTACTTTTGCCTGATCTATAGCTGAGACACAAGACCTGTGAAACTTTTAGTAGTCTATTTGTCAAGAAGTACTAATTTAAATGTGGGAATCACTCCCATTACTGTACAAATGTTGTCCAACCCCACCCTGATGGGCAGCTACAGCTGGGCTACAAAACAAAACCAACTAAACAAGAACTAACATCTTTTTAAATTGGCCAGGAATATATAAATTATAATCCTAGATTTATAACAAAAAATTGCATCTTGCTGGTATAGAAAAACTGTTACAAGGCAGGAAAAAGCAGAAATCAAAATGTATTGGATCCACCTTCAATGTTACCTGCTGCAAGCTGATGCTGACTGTGTTCCTGCACCACTTCCTGCACAGGTTTTGTCTTTTCCAAAGCAGCTTTGTTCTGTAGAGAACTGTCACACTGAAGAACTTGCTCCAAACCTGGTCTCTTTAACAAATGGCGTTTAGAAGATGGAAGGAACAATTCTGGAGACCTTCACAGAGGGAAATTGGTTTTAATAGGGTTTTCTTTGTTGTTACTCTTTTAAGCATCACAGCTGAGTTATGGCAAGGGCTCAAAAACTTCAAGGTTTTTCATCACCCCCCAATTTTGTTAAACTACAAGACTAGAAATAACACCTCTCCCCTCTACCAACACAAAGGAAACCCAAACCACCTACCTTTCTTTCCCTTGCTCTTTGATTTTACTGTTGAGAGAATCACTTGGCAAGACACGGAAATCATTGGCTGAAAATCCCTTTGAATTGCTGCCTCTGTGATTTTCAAAACTGACTTCTGAGGTTGACTCTGCCCCTGGAAGAAAAATAATTCTTAAATAAGCAAAATAAAAGCAACGATTCTTAGCTGTTCAGGTAAGAAGTCAAACACCCTCTAAAAGTCTCTGTCCAGATTCACTTCAGAGAGACAAGAGCCCAGAAACAGAAAGCTACACAAAATACAAATCCATCTGAAACAGGCTAACAACTAAATCATATTTTATTTATTAAAGCATCTTGGAAACTAAGATGCTCAGCTTCATATCATGTGGAAAACGTAGGATATAAAAAAGGCCAAAGGCAAATTTACGCTATTTAGTGCGGTTTATGAATCCCTCAATGCATTCCCATATCTCTGTTCACAAGCAGTAGAGGCATTTATTTGCTAGCTAAAGATGCCTGTAATTTGTATCAAACCATCAAGAACTCGAATCCCAAGTGTTTGTGAGATAGGTAGGAAATGTTTTCACTCCTATTTACCTCCTTGTCTCATCTGTTCCATTCCAGGTGTTCTTTCACTGCTGGAATGTGGCCGTTCCCTATGGACAGGTAAAAGTTCACAATCCTGACTTCCATGCTGCTTCAGCACTGCCTCAAGTACAGCCATTTCTTGCTGAAGTTTCTTTAGGTTATTTTGCATTATATTCTTCTGCTGCAAAGGATACACAATGTGGCATCATTCCTGAAAGCCCCAAAGACTGTTTAAAAGGAATAAAGTATTTCATTCTGATTTCATTACTTTCTCTGTCAAAAATTCCAATACCCTCTATTAAAAACATGCCATGTACACCTTCCCATGGAAGCAGCTCAGGGCTTTAGGGATCCTTTTAAAAACCTAAAACCTTCACCCTATAGGATAAAGTAGTTGACATAGCACTGGATACATTCCTAGCTCCAGCACTGACACCATGTGGAACTTCCTTTTACTGAATCAGTAAAATAACCTCAACCAGACAGAAAACCCCCATCACACAATAAAGCTAAAAGCTCCCCATCAAACCACACAGCCACCATTCCATCCAGCCCAGGCATAGCACAGAATCCCTGTCAGTGAACCTACATCAGGGAGCAATGTAGCTCCAACACAAAACAGTTTTCCACTTTAGTGCAAAACCTCACTTACCTGTGTAGTGAGGATTTCACCCTGAGAGAATGGTTCACACGAATCCTCTACATTACTTGTTTCACTGTCGTATGCAGATGCTTCACCTTGAAGAACACAGAAGAAACATCTTGGTTATAAAACCCACATCAAACCAACCCAACAATCATGGCTCTTACCACACAGCCCCTGTAGCCAACTCTTAACTATCACGACAGTGACAAGTTTTGAAAACACTGGAATTAGAATCACAGACCTACTTTAACTGAACATTTCAAAGAACATCATGGCACACATATGGCAAAGTAAATAGAACTCCAAGTGTTTCAATAGCAATGGAAGAGTCCCAGCTACTTATGAAAGCTGTAAGGTCAAAATAAGCACTACAGAATTCTAGAGTCAAGTTCAACAAACATTTCAGGAGGGGAAACAACTTTGTGGGCTTTATGGCTATCACATTACAGGAAGAAATGGGCATTTCACACAAACATCAGTTCCAGCCAGACTCAGCCTGGTCTCCAGTGCCCACTCTATTCATTTTTGCTCTGAACAAAGAATATTGGAAGAACTTAATTTTCAGGAATTAACCCCCTGAGGGTTTTTTGGTCAATTGTTCAGGGCTGATACACTCCTTTAAAAGAGGAAGAACCACATAAACACAGAACTAAGCTCCTGTCAAACACCTAGGTGCAATGACATGACACACACAGCTGCAGAGATAGAAACCTTGGTTTGTACCTAGGTTTGCTGCCATGCTTGAGTCTTCTTGGCGCTCATCTTTGGAGCTAGTTTTGCTTCTCTTCAGCCTTCCATTACCACTTTGGAAAGTTTCTTTACTCTCTGTCACATTGTTCACTTGTTTAGATGTATGAGCTTGTCCTGAAGGAATCCTGAGCTCTTGTGCTACTTCAACTAATTCTTCAGACGTGTTGGATTGGGAAGAAAATAAGTTGACGGAGCACTCGGACTCCTGGCCTGGGGAAACACATTCATTGCTTAGGGTAGCTTCAGGCATCTTCTGCATGTTATAGTCCTTGTGACTTCCAGTGTGAGGCAACGTGATGGGACTCGCTGAAACCTCTACTACAGATTTTGCTGGTTTACTGCTTTGCAAAGGTGTGCTCACTGATTTGCCAAATATTAATGCCTGAAAACATGGTAAATCTTCATCCTCACTAGATTCTTCATCTGAAGATTGCAGTTTCTGTGCTCTTCTTCGAGGTCTTTGAATATGTTGAGATCCTGACTTAGAACTACCACTTCTATTGTGTAGTTCTTGTTCCAGAGCATTGTCACCTCCTTTTGCAAACACAGCAGATCTCTCTATCCCATGAGCTGCAGAAAAGCTGATGTTCTCTCCAATCTCATCATCAGAGCACAGTAAGCCATCAGGGGTTTCAGACAAACATGTAAAATCACTATTCCTTTTACAAGATTCTTCTGAAGCTTCTGTAAGTGAAAACTTTGGCATCCCTGTGCTGGCAGCCTGGCTTGCTCCTTCTTCATTCTCCTCTACAGGTTTGCTTTTTCTTTTGTTACTTTTTTCCCCAGTGACTTCACAGCTGAATTCAGCAGCCCTTTGCTGACAAGGTGCAGGACAAATCATTGAGCCAGAGTGAAAAGGTTCTATTGGTCTTTTGTCATCAACAACTCTGGCCTTTCCTGCTTGACTGTTCTCTGAACTGAAGCATGTTTCACCGTCTGTGTTTGTATCAGTTCTCGTATCAGCCTGATCACTTTGCCTTATATTACTTTTAACTGGATTCTGTCTCAACTTGCTTTTTATTCCTGTACCAGTTGACAATGTCTTTTCCTTCCCTTGCCCTCCTTGCAATCTGCTTTTGTCTTCAGTCCCAGCGGTGCCCATCCTTACTGGTGTCAGAGTCCCTCGATTTGTAACCTGTGAAACATCTTCCTCTTCCTCACAAACCCTACTCAAGCTTCCAGCAGTTGTTTTCTCTCCTTTTAGGTTTTCTGGTTTTAAATAGTTGCTCTGCTTATTTTCTGCCTGATCAGCACATGGTGTCTTAGAAGCTTCACAAGCAGCATCTTCTACTGCACACACCTTCTTGGGAATGGAATGAAGGCTGAATGACAGGCGTTTTGAATGCCTGAATATATTTTGCACAAACGGTATGTCCAACTCGCTCCCGTCAGTATCCTTGTTCAATTCCAAATCGTTTTCAGCCATTGGCAACTTTCCAGCTCTCAAGTCCCCTGGAACATTTGGCATATCACGTCCAGTACATGATTCAGTCACCTCTTCAGTCAGGTGGGAAGCAGTTTGCACAACAGCCGTGGAAGGAAACTGTAGAAGAGGGCTAACTTGGACTTCACCTTCTTGAGAAGCTGTATCAGGCACAAAGGAACTACAAGTTGAATGCTGACAGGAAGATGCAGGATTGAAGACAGCTTTAGCAGTTTCTGCAGTATTAGATGCATTCTTTAGACTAATCTGTATTTCATTTGCTTCCAGATCACTATCCTTCAGATTAATGAGTGATTTGGAACTTGACATATCCAAGGGCTCATCCAGGTCTTTGCATGCAGAAGTGTGAACTAATGCATTTGTTTGGACTCTAAAGCTAGCCCCTTCATGACCACTATCATACTTTCTTGCTCCCTTCATTTCAGCTCCTTTTCCTGTCTCTCTTGTCATTTCTTCAGAAAGTAACTGCAGCCTCCTGCTGCGCCTGACTCGTCTTTGCTCAGAATCAGCTTTCCTGGGTTCTTCACTGCTTGGGTAGCTATCGATCTGTGGCTCAGCCGCGTCAGCAGAATCAGAGCTTCTATCCGCTACTAACTGTAGGGCACACAGAGATCTAGTAGAATGCCTGCATCTTTTTGCTGCAGAACTTTTCTTGGTGCTTTTCTGATCACAGTCACTCAGTTTTAGCTCCTCAGCACTGTGCTTGCCAGGCACCTTTTCAGTAGCTGTTTTCCATACAGATCCCTCTGGTTCTTCAAGTTCTGCCACTGTATTATCCTCCTGATTCTCGGAGAGCTGACCCTCATGAACAGCAGAACTTTCATTACATCTTTGCTTTTCAGCATCTCCAAGGCACCAGTTAACACTTTGAGGGGACCCATTTGCCTCTTCATCTTTTTTCCTGATGAAATCCTCAGGCTGCAGGACACGGGGCATCCTCCTTTTTCGCTTTAGTCTGTTTTTGCTTGAATGATCCAAGAATTTATCAGCAGCCACATCTTCCTTTTTTGCAGGAGGTAAAATGTCTCTGAAGATAAGAGAGGGATTTGATTTCCTCTCTCTCTTATATGTTTTCCCAAATATTTTATCTTTGATGCTATCTGCTGTTTGTTTTGATGATCTCTCATTTCCTTCCACCACTGCAATTTCCACACAATCCACCATAGGGTCAGTCTTCTCTGAAATACAGGAATCTTTATCTGAGAAACATGCATCTTTGTCCCCTGAAATGTCAGCTGCTCCAGTAGAATCACCCTGGGAAGAACTGGAAGAGAGAATCTCGTTGCTTTTTGAAAACCATTCATTGACTTTCTGAATGCTTCTCTTCAGTCTCTTCTTGGAAACTGGATTCAGGGCAGCACAGTGAGGCGGCTCTGGTTGAAGCAGTTTCTCCAGAGGAAGTTCTTTCTCATGGGAAGAATCATTCTCAGGTTCATCCATTTCCACAGCTTCCACACTTTGTGCATCATCTATTTCCTTGCTTTTATCCAACCTGCTCGCTGAGCTATCTTTTAAGTCAAACTCTTTGCTTTTACTATCACACTGAGTTTGCTCTGCATCCATTTCTTCTGTGTTCTTAAAGAAAGATGTGTCCCCACTCCTTAAGGGACTGGCATTACCTATTGTGTCACACTGCTCCGTGAGGAGGTCTCCAGCAAGAACACTGAAAGGAGAACTCTGGTATTCAGGCATAGTCACTCGGCCAGCTTGGGCGCATTCAGTGATGTTCTGAGTGCTTTTCCTGCTCAAGACTTCCTCTGAGGAATTACTTTCACCTGAAGATTTAGAGGTATTAGAAATTATTAAACCCTATTTTACAAGCAGAGGCACGAGAACACACTTAACAGCTACTTTGTTTTAAAAGAACTCTTTTTATTTCCCCCAAACCAGAATATTATGCTGCACTCATCTCCCTCTAGAGAAAAGATGTTCGTCCAACTTCTTACATGAATTAGCAGCCAGTATTAAAAGGCATAATATGGCTGACGAAGAATAGAGTAAGTTTTGCAATTTGATTAGGGTACTTTCTCCCCTTTTCTGTTCTTGTGTATATACTTAAAATATTCACATTTTAAGTATTTAGTCTACAGGTACAGTCTTGTATTATGGTGTCACTAGCTGCAAGCATCAACAAAACTACAACAGACAAGACTGCAAGCACACATATTTAATAATGTGTAATCAAAATGTTAAGTTGTGGTCTTTTCTTTCAAGCTTAATCATTTTTGTCACCAAAATAATGAACACACCTGTGACATTTAGTAGAATTACTTCTTCAACACCCGGCTTGTCACGCTGTGTACTGGGAGAATATTCATTCCCCATCTCAGCACTCTGAAGTTCTTCTAACTTCTCTTGAGCTGAAACCTGAAGTGCTTCTTTGTCTTTTAACCTGTTGGGAAGGGAAATCTACTTTTATTATAGAGAAAGAAACAACAGACATAATAGAAGATGATACTTAATCTTCCCTTTTTGCTCTCTGAAACAGTTTTTGGAGAAGCCAGATTGCATGATTGCACTCTCCACAACTAGATCCCTTCAGAGTTTTGGGCCATTTCTTTGAAAGATCTTCTCCCCTTCATGAAGGTAATATTGACATTCTAAAGCATAAGAGACATGCTCTTCTCTTGAAGATTTAATGTCTGGGTGAGCAATAAAACATTTATAAACCAGCTTTGAGGCATATTATATGACAAACTGCTGGGAGTCAGCCACCCATTCTGCCCTGGTGCCCCTGAAAGTTGAAAATCACTTGTCAGGTTAAGAATGCTCTTTGTCTTGTGCTAAGAAATGAAAACATAGAAATGAGACTACATCTTCAGAAAATATGAATTCCTGAATCACTGTTACTTACCCAGTATTGCTTGACTCTTTGAAAACTTCTTCAGATGAATCAGAACCTAAAACCAGCATAAAATTGTTTAGAGTGACTGGTAACAGAGAGCTACGAAAGGTTAGTTAGCTAAGAGTTAAGTTTCCAACTTCTCAATTCCTACATGAAATAGCCACTAGTATTTAGAATTTTGAACTGAAAGACAGAGCAATATATTTGAGTATCTGCTTTGGGTCCCCTGGCTGATGGTGACAGAAGCAATAAGAAAGAGAGAGGCGACGAACACTGACTGTTAAAAGGTGCAATTCCTTCCCTGAAGGAAAAGGGAGAGAATGAACTATGCACAGCAGTTTCTCACAGCAGTCAGCACCAGCTAGGAGAGAGAGAAAGGAAATATTCTTTCCTTAATTAGATTTCAGGTTTACTTCTGGTTATTGACTACAGCCTCAAGCACTGGTGACAAAGCTTAATATTCTTTAGATGACAACAGTTACCATTACTTATAACAACTTTCTTCACATCTGTAAGCATCTTCTTTGGATCTTGTACACTGAGCCTTAAAGGTTTACTATAGCAGCATTATTTCCTACAACAGAATAAATTATGGAAAAAGCCCTTTGATGTACCAATTTGGATTTGTCATAATTTGCCCCTTTGTCCTTATTTGGGGTGTTAAGGAGAAATATGTGTTTATAAAGACTTGGAACCTCACTGCCTTTCATTACTTTGCAGGCACTATACATAAGCCCAACTACCATAAATCAACAACAGCTCTTACCAAACTCTATGTAAATCCCTTTTTGAGAGCCACATTTCTGGGGTTTGTTTCCTAGGGACCTCCTTTTGACCCTACTATCTGTAAGCTGTGTATCCACATTAGCTTCTTGCTGACAGGAGAATAGAAAGGAACAGTTAGTTATAACAGTAGGTTGTTTTCATAAAGTAAGTGGAGATTACTTAAACTACAGCGGGTGGGGGGCTTATATATATATGAACTAAGTATTTAAATTGGCAGTTTCTATATAAAAATCCAATACATAGAACTTATTGGACCAATATCAGTAATGGAATGTGTTAACAGGAACAATTAACATGTGCTTAACAGCTCAAATCATGAAGTTTTACCTTCCTTAACACTCTATTCAGTATTAAGTAGCTGAGACTAGAAACCAGTGTACCATGAAAAAACTCCTACCTGCAGTAACCACACTGGGTTGGTAATGGCTTAACAAGTCTTAAGACATAGTCAGGGCCCTACCACTGAAAAGCCTACTAATATTTAGAACTCATTAAATAGGAGTATGAAAAAACTTTGGGTAACAGAATATTTAGTGGCAGTATTTTCTTTAAGTTCAGATCATTTCATGCAGAAAACTTTTGAAAGTAGGTTAGGAAGACAAAAATATTTAGATGCCCTTGCCTGAAATAATATTCAAGTCAAAGAGCGATTTGAAAACAAAGCAAATTCTCCTATTCCATTCATTTACGTACACACACACACACACACGTTCCAAATAAAACACTATAAAATCCACAAAAATATGGGTAAAAAAAAAATAATACCAAGGTGCAGTTTTCTTGTCCATTTTCTTTAGTACTTTTCCTATTCCTGAAGCCCTTACTCTGGATGACAGAACCCTCTTTACATGGGAGCTCAACAGCAGTGGCTTCTGTGGCTGGTTTAGGAAAGTGACGACTGTTTAAAACTGAAAAACAGCAACAAGAAACAAAAAGCAAAAATATTTCCTTACACTGAGCATGACAGCAGGTATTATATATTAATTGAACAGTCTTAAACAGAGCAGATGTAACAAGCACACATACAGCTAAAATACGACTATCAGAGAAAGAAATCCAATTGAATTGGTGGTCTGATTGTTGTTTAGGAGTTCTCTTCAAGTATTAAGTAAAATCTTGATCTCACCAAAGAAATTTGCCAAGCAGTTTTGCTACTACGGATAATCCAGCAACAGGATCTACCAGTGGTCATTTTAGAATGACTGAACAAGTTGAAAAGAATTTGGAAAGTCTGTTTTTTACAGTGCAATATATTGATAAAGAAAAACCAAACCCCACAACCCACCGCTTGCCCCAAAAGCATCTTGAAAACAAGAAACCTGGAGAGAGGCTTTGGACAAGGGCCTGTAGGGACAGGAAAAAGGGGAATGGCTTTAACCTCCCCAAGGGGAGACTGAGATGAGCTCCTAGGCAGAAGCTCTTCCCTGTGAGGGTGCTGAGGTGCTGGCACAGGGTGCCCAGAGAAGCTGTGGCTGCCCATCCCTGGCAGTGCACAAGGGCAGGTTGGATGGGACTTGGAGCAAGCTGCTCCAGTGGAAGATGTCCCTGCCCATGGCAGAAGGTTGGAAATGGATGAGCTTTGAGGTCCCTTCAACCCAAACAATTCTAAGATTTGATGATTCTATGATAACCAAGAGCAGGATTTTGCCACACATTTCTAAAGATTATTTGATACACATTCAGCCATATTTCAGGAACTGAAAATAAGATTGGTTGGAGTCATCCAATGCACAGTAAAAACCCTTTATACTGTGTAAGAGGTTATTGTAGAAAAATTGTGGAAACTTAATGGAACATATGCTTCTACATCAAAGAAAAAAAAAACAAACAACTTTTGCTAATTCTTCCCATATTGAAAACTGCACAGGAAATGAGATACCCTTCAAATAATAATGATACAACTTACATTTTACTCCAGTGTCAAGTTCAAACGCATGAATAGTTTCCAACAATCCTTCAATTAGTTGCTTAAATCTGGAATTTTCTCTCAGACTTCTGAAATAACATTACCACAGAAGTTGTTTTAAGACAAATGTATAGTAACAGTTCTCCTAGAATTCTGGCTGAACAATAAAGGAGTAAAACTCCAAAGTGAAAAATGGGACAGTGAGAAATTGATGCCAAGGAATAACAACACAGTTCCCGAAAACAGCTCTTAGTGTAGGAATTAAAACTATCACAAAATGAAGGTGTCATAGTTTTCCTCGTTTAGCACACAGAAACCAGTTGTAATGACTGAACAGTAACACAGCCTAGCCTTGACAGTGCAAACATTTGCTAAGAACAGTGTCTTCACCTGCATATAAACCTGAAATGGGTTTATACTGGGGGAAGGCACAAAGAGTTACTCCTTTAGAAGGTAACAGCTACCTTAAGAAAAACCATCTTTTCTTGATTATTTCAGTCATTTTTAGGACAACGATTAACTTTTCTTTTGAGTTCAAAATTCTTATCCTCAAGCCCAATTGCAAAGATGAAGTTACCTCTTGGTAACTTCAGTCTTACACAGTGGACACACTGTCACACCTTTCTTCTTTCTGCTGAGGAGTTTGAACATGCAGAACCTGGGGGAAAAGAGAATAATAATGATAGTAACAAAAAGGAAGAATTTCATTTGTTTTACACCTGATCCTACGCACACAGCACTTAGTAGAAACCCTTCATTATCAAGTTGAATGCCTGAGTTCTTGTTCTGGTGTTCTGATGAATTAATCAGTTATGTTTGACACATATAAAACTGCAGTTGTTTCTCATTCAGAATGGATTTTCCCCCTCAAACAGCTACACATCACATTATCAAAACACAAACCACATTAGCACTAAACAAATCTATTTGGAGATTTAAGAACAGATGGGCCAAGCATTGTCATCGCAAGCTTTCAATCCTACCTGCAGAATATGTGATCGCATTTTGTTGAGACTGGCTCTTTCATCACCTCCAAGCTACAAAGAGAAAAATGAAGGAAAACAAGAGCACAAAGTTACACATAAACCAGGAACAACAAAAGAAGATTCAGAAATAGTCACTTGCCTGATCTTAGGAAGAAAAAAACATGGTGGGGAAGAGAATTAGGAAACATTTACCAGTTTTTCATTTGAAAACGAGGCATGGTAACAAATACTGTTATTATGTGATACACACCGATCTACCAGCTCTTCCCAATCTTTGTCTGTCACTGGCAGAAAGACTGCATTTTCATAAACTGCCAGTTCAGCAGGGCAGGAAACTTGGTGTTAGAACACCAACACCTTTTTCAACACTAACCACCTGTGGCAAGAGTGAAGGACAGTGCAGTTCTGGTGGGTTCAGGAGCCCACACGACTCTTTAAAATTCAATTCTCTTTATTTTCTGATAACCCATCAATCTTCCAAAGCATTTGAAAAGAAAAGAGAGAGAAAAACAAAAGCCTCAAACTCGCAACACAGATTCACATTATTCTCCTGACATACCATATTGGGCACTCCAAGTTCTTCTGCATAGCAGAAAGCACATTTTGCACATCTCCAATAGCAATCGCTGAGAAGTCCATCTTTCACAGGCAGAAATATTCTACAGAAAAAAAGTAAACAGCTTTGTTTCTGATTTGTTGTATCCCATGAACAATGTTTTGCATCTTGACTCTTCTGTAACATGCTAAACAGCACTGAATGCTTGACTGCTATTGCTTGAGCAAGGCTTTACAGCATCTGTGGAGTTCTTGCTCTGAATGCTTAGTTAAAGCCTGTCAAGCCTCTTGCAGTCAAAGCAACAAACAGAACAAGTTCGCAGATGCAGAGACACAGCAAACACACATAAGCAGAACAGCAAAACCCCAAAGCTTTCTCTGTGGAAAAGGATGCAAAGGAGGAAGCAGCCATGCTCATGAAAGAACCCCAAGAACTACCGACCCGGACCAGCACAAGTGAGGCCCTACCGCGAGCACCACAAGCCCTGAATACAAACAAAAACCGCTTGACCTTTACGTTGCGGCGGGAGCAGGGCCGGGCCCCGCGCTGAAGGCTGCCAGCAGGCCCAAGCGAAGCGGCCCAGTACTCTGCTCGCCTCGCTCCGGCCTCCCGGCCCCCACCGTCCCTCCGCCGCAGGGAGAGGCGGGCCCCGCTGGTGCGGCCCAGCGGGACCCTGCCGAGGCTCCAGCAAGCACCGGCCGCTGCCCAGAGACGCTCCGCCACCCGCCTCAGGAGCCGCCCCACAGCATCGCATTTCGCGCCTTTTCCGTCACTCCGTGACACCACAGCACCTGAACAGCCAATCCCATGCCAGAGCCTATTGCACGTGGGAGCAAAACATCCTCTTATTAGTTCTTTCCAGGCGTCTGGGCGGGGCGGAGCGTCTCAGCGCAAAGCTGATTGGCTCAGCTGCTGTCCCTCGACCCCGCCTCAGGCGCTTCATCCCAGTGCGCAGCGGCTGTCGCGCTGCATTGTGGGAGCTACGGTAACGCCTCGGAAGTGCGTGGCCCCCCCCTCCTGCTCTGCGCTCCCGGGTCTGTTTGTTGTTGTGGTCCTGCAGCGCCTGGTCCCGCCCTCTCCCCGCTACTAGCCAATCAAAGCGCCGAGGAAGATGAGTGGCAGAGGGAACAGCCATTAGCGTGGTGTGGAGGGCGGGAGGCTGGCAGCGCTCGGGCCGCCATGTTAGGGTCGTCGGGCCGTCGGACAGCCTGTGGCTCGGGGTCCGGGCAGCGCGGCATGGAGCCGCAGGTGGAGCTCCGCGTCACTTGCCGCGGCGACACCCGCAGCTTCCTCGTGTCGGATCCGGTGCTCACGACGTGGGCCGACGTGGAGGCTATGGTGAGCGCCGCTGCCGTGCGAGCTGGGGGTGTTCGCGCCGCTTCGGGGTCCCAGCGCCTTCGCTCTCGGCTGCCGGAGCCGTGTTCCCCGTTCCATAGGCTGGTGCTTTTCTTGCTGAGGCCTCCTTTTTGCTGTTGGCGTTAACGTTAACTTTTGTATTTATTGCGTACTTGGGGGTGTTTTGGAGCCTTTTTTGGGTAAAGCTCTTTATGGGTCACTTGATTTTCCCTGCGAGTTGCGGCTTTAGCTGTGTGCGCTTCTCCACAGTTACGGATTCTTGGCATTGTACCCCTGTACAGTGCAGTTTGGTCTTCTTACTCCGGTTCTTTTACTCATGGAAGTAGATCTGGTAGAATAACACTCTTCTGTTACTTAAAGAACAGTTTCCGGAGTGCTGTCTTTGCTTTCTGGATACTGAGACACTGACAGGTTTTTGGTTTCTTGCTTCCTGGTGCCTTGTATGTGCTAATCTAGAAATAACTGTTACTGGGTCATGTGTGCATAGACAGTTGCTTATGGAGGTCTGTGTGTCATGTATGTGGTATTTTGAAGAGCTCCTGTTTGGTTTTACTTGCAGTGTTAGTGAAAACGCCTATATTGGCTGAGGTTATGATTCCCTTATAATAAGGATTCCTTTATAATAAGGATTCCTTTGCTTATAATGAAGCTGCAGAGATTAAAAAGTTGCATCTTAAGAGATCTTGGCAGTGGTTTATTTTCTTTCAGTTCTTGCTATGTAGCTAATATGTTCCAGTGTACCTTGTAGATGGTTCTTGCATTGTGAATTACTCATTCGAACCTTGAGCCTCATCGTCTTCACTCCCTGTATTTCACTCTTCTGGAAGAGGTGGTAGTTCAGGCTTAAAATATGTGCTGGCAAATGGACCCTGCAGGAATGGCTGAGTTGGTCAGAAGCCTGCTTGCAGATTGCTCTGTAAGCAAAGTGTTGCTCTTAAGATTGAGAATGTGTTTGTGCAAGGTGTGGTGTTCCATGACAGTGATGTTTGTGGTGGAACCAAGGTGGTACCATGGGGTGTCTGTGCACTTTGCTGTGTGAATTACTGTTTCAAGATAGAATCTATTAAACTGTTGCCTGTGTTTTAGTACATTAGTGAAGGTCTTTTGTTCCTAAGGGATAACCCAGTTTCTGGTTTTACTTTGAGGTTCAGGGGAACAGTCTATGATATTAGCCAATGTAGATGCAGACCATGGTTTCTTCTTGACAATCTGAGTTGTTTCTCTTGCTGCACTCCCAAATTAATTTGGGATGTACCCCTGGAAGAACCTGTGTGTAGCACATTCATTGCAGAATGTATGTAGCTATGGCATTGAAGTGCTGTGTAGGTCTTAACCATCCGCTGCCTTCTAATGCTGATAGTGTTCTTATGTGAAGCCCAGGCTAGCAGAACATGTCACAAATATATCAGGCTTTCAGAGAGAGCTTCCATGGGGAAAAATCCAACTTGGCAGGTAAACGATACCCAAATGTACATGAGCCTCGGAGGCTGTTATTCAACATAGGGGGGTGAAAAGTGCCTTTGTTTATGGCTCATTTGAGATTGTTTGCCTCTATGAGCTGCCCTCTTGGTGCTTTCCAATGTCAGAGTTAGGATGTGGTGATTGTTGGCTTTAGGTGCCTTTGGCATGCTTGAGTTCCTAACCCTGAGCTTGTCCCGTTGGGATGGAAAAGTTGTTATTGATTATTTTGGGGTAAACATTAACTGGGAAGGGGGAATCATGAAAGAAATAAAGGTTTTGCTTTTCATTATAGGAGTTAGTCAAGGTTGCAGGCATTGGGAGAAGTTGTTCAGCTCCAGAATGGGTTTTGTAGGACAGCATTTATTTCAGTGGAGAAACTGAAGGGAGGTCTGGAGGGTTAAAGCATTAACCATGATTAACTGAAAACATTTGTTGTCCTATCTCCTTGTGTTTCACTGTGGTTTTGTCCTCCTTTTTCCTTACAGGTTAAAGTTTCATTTGACCTGGACAACATTCAGATCAAATACATTGATGAGGATAATGATGAGGTAAATACCTCCCACTCCACCCTCCCAGCAGTGGCGTGAACCTTCCTGCCTCTTGATAATTTGTAGTGGGTCCTTCAGGAATGTATCTTATGCATTAGAGGTGGGGTTTTTTTTGCCCCTTTGATAAGAAAATAGCTGTTAGTCTTGTGGCTTCACTCATAATGTAGGATACTTATTTAAAATGCTTTTTTAGAAGCTGCTGCCTTTCTTTTTTCCATCCCATAGAAACAGCCAGTGATTCTGTGTGCTCTGAGGAGAAATGCTTCTGTTGGGGAATTCTTCTTTGTCATTTGACAAGAATAAAGTAGTGGTAACGGTGCTTACAGCCATGAGAAAGCCCTGTCTTTTCAATCTGTGTTCTTGCCTCTGAAAAATGTAGGTCCCCCGTCATGAGCATATGTTCAGCTCAGTGATCTGGTGTACTCAAATCCTCTGCCTGTTTTATGCAAATGCTGTAATCTCCAAGCAGATTACTGACTCAGAAAACAAATTGGTTACTTCTGGTTGTCTCTGCTGAGTAACTTCCTGCTTGGCATAACTTCACCCTTTCATATTCTTTCTGGTTATCTAAGGAAGAATGTAGCTCTGGAACAGAATGTAACTGTTGTAAACTCCATGTTCCATTACTTGGTTTGCAGCTCTACTAAATTGCAGAGATGGGGATCTATGTTTTTATTTCTTTTTTCCCCATAGGGGAAATGTCAAAATACTTCCAACAGCACTTCAGGGAAAGGTTGTCCCCTTGTTTTCCAGCCTGTATCTATATAAAGATACAGATGCATCTGTTATAAATGTTTTTAAAATACCAATAGGGTAAGTCATGCAATGCTGTAGTGATTAAATAGCTTCTTGTATTAGTAACTTCTGTGTGCAGAGTGGATAAATGAGCACCTGTAGATGATGGGTTGGGCTTGTATCTAAATCATGAAACACTTTACAGCTGGGCATTAAAAGTAACTGGGTCCCCCCTCTGTGTACTTGTATAGCAGTACCAGTGCCAGCTTACTGCCAGTAGATGAGATCACGCTTGTTCTGGCTGCTAGCAGGTGCAGAGCCCTTTCTTAGTGAACTCTAATGAAGAACATGCTCTGCTCCAGAACACCAAAATGTTGATGAATGGTTAAAGGTGGCAGCAGTAACAAATATCTAAAGGAGGGGGTACATTTATTCAGAAAGCATGTTAATGTTCAGAGAATTGTAGAAATACATTAATGTCTATTACTGTTATTTCTCTTTGCAGGTCTCTGTGAACAGCAAAGGTGAGCTGCTACTTTACTGGAGTGAAATTGGTAACCGGACCCCAGCTGTTGTTGATGTTTCTGGAGAAGCAGTTGGGAAGGCTTCCTCTTTGATTTCTAGGTTTTGTGTATGCTGGGGCATCAAATCCTTCCTGAGGGAAGGAGGTTTCAATCCATAGGACCAAATAGGAAATGACTGAATTAATGGAATGTAAAATCTCTTGGCTGTTAGAATATGTTTGCTTGTTGCTGTATGTACAACTTCCAGTAGCTCTAGTAAAAGGGTTTACACAAGGTATGGGAGATGCTCCTTAATGTAGGAGTCCTTAAATACTGTGTGCTAAACTTCTGTGCTGGTTGAGACAGGGAAAATTCACATTTCTTTCCTTTTTTTCTTTAGAGGAATACGAGGAAGCTCTGAAGGTAAATGCTGTCTTCGACTCTTTGGATTTTGGTTTCCAACATATTCATCCTTCTGCAATTGGAATTGGTTAATTTTACATAGACAAAAGAATTGCTTTCCTTTACATTTCATCTGTGCTATGTTAATACTTTCAGCTCTTTGCTCATGGGCTTTCAAATCTGCTAATAATTTCAAAATAAGCATAAATTACAACTTGCTATAACCTCCTGGGTAGAATGTCTGTTTATTGCTCATCTGAGCAGCTTTATTGTAGGGTGAAAAATTCCTACAGTAATATCTGCATTCTCATCCTTTTGCTTAGAATGAACTTTCTGACATATTGGTAGCCTTTAAGAAAAGTAGAACAGAATATCAAACATCAGCTGACTGGGCCTTGGCATTTCACTGGGTTTTCCTTCGGTTTGGGTGTCAGTCTTTCACCAGCCTCTCCAGTGTAGTGTGGTGCTGTATTTCACAGGGTTTTCTGTGTTGGTTGTAAGTGCAGTAAATATGATTTTCTTTACTGTTTATTTAGATTGCAGTTAAACAAGGAAATCAGCTTCAGATGAATGTGTATGAAGGAAACTTTTCTCTGAAAGAAGCTTCATATTCTTGTTCTCTGCAACCACATGGAAAAACTGGAACAGAAAAGTTGGCACCCGTTAAAGATGAGAAGAACCTTCCTTTGCACTGTTCTGTGCTGGCTCAGGGGTTAGAGGAAGGCTTAAAAAATGAAGAGCTGGCAACTCAGGTAGGATTCAGAGCTGAATTATGTATGCATTAAAATAAAGAACTTATAAGTGTCATAAGTCACTTTATAGATTGATTGTCATCTTTACCTATGCATGAAATCTCTGAGTTTGGAAGCTGGTCTTCATTTTCAGCTATCTGCACCAATTGTAGCTTGTGAAAGTGTTTGAATGTCTTCAAGATATTTTGATGCTGCATTTAGAAATACAGATGCTTTCATGTTGACCATTCTTAACTATTTTGATAAACAAAGCAGTTGGTCTCCTGAAGCCTGATTGCCATCTGGTAACTTCTGGTTGACTTGGTTTCTTTGGCATTGACGCAGAATTGCATTTAAATGCTAACAATGCAGAAATCTCTCAGGAGAATGACAGGGATTTGTTGTGTTGCTTTCCCACTGTTTTCCAAATAACTTGAGATCTCTTTTTTTCTAAAGCCACATAAGAGCTATTCCCAAGTGTTCGACTTGCTGGGATGAGGGGTTTTGCAGCTTTGTATACTTGAGGTTGGTGAATTATTTTTGTGGGTTTTCTTTCCCCAGCAAAATTTAAATCGCAGTAGAACAGGAAGAACAAATGAAAAACCTCCAGAATGGTTTACTAGCTACCTGGAAACAGTAAGTGTATTTTCTCATGAATTTAGTATTGTTAAAGGAATGCATAAGAGGCTGTGGGTAGAAAAGATCCCTGTGATGGCAGACTCTGTTCATATGCTCACACTTGCTCTCAGTACTTGTGACTAGGAATCTTAAAGGGCACTTAGGCATTTAATCCTTTTGCTTTTGTGGTGATAAATGGAAGGTAGATATCTGTATGGCTGTACAGTGTAGCTGTCACCTTAAAAAGAGTTTGATATGTGCCACTTCTTGTGCAAAGTGGATTGTTTGGTTTATGCACTTGATGGGTTTGAGTGCAGGTTTAAAAGTAGCTCCCATGATAGAATCCTTGGTGTGTTCCTGGTAGCTGTAGGAGCTTCACTTGTGATGAGAGAGCGCATAAAATAATGGTGTTGCTGTTGGATGCTCTGGTTTGACCAGTTTCACTAGGGTGATGCTTAGTTTCCTAGATTTGGAGTAGAGCTTTTGATGACTTTGCTTTTCTTGATTGTTCAGTTTAAGAAAATACTTTGAGGAGACCATTGAGTATAACCTATAGGTTAATAAGTTGTGGGTGTTAACTTGTTTTGAATGGCCAATAATCATACCTGAGAGACAGTTAGATATGAATGCTTAGAATAAATTAGCCAGTGAGTTCTTGAAACTAAAAGGTTCAGTATACAATAGTATGTACATTTTTATTCAAGCTTTTTTTTCTCAGTCTCCCTTCCTTTGCCACCTTTCATACAAACAAAAGATGGGGGATTTAGTGGCTGTATTTAAAACATCCCTGGTGGACCAAACCTAATGCTAGTGACTCCAGAGGGGTTTGTTGGGGTTAATGTCTCAGCAGTTGGTTTCCTTCCCTTTGTGTGAAGCTATGCAAGAACCTGAATATTGTAAGCAGCAGTATAGGTTTTATGAATTTTTCTCGTTAAAAGCTCTGGGCTGATATTTTCTAAAACCCAAATCCCCTTTGAGGAATATGATGCTTGTTTAATTTCATCTGGAATGTGCTGGGGGGATGGGGAGTGGATTATGAGTTGCTTTATGGTTTATGTATTGGAAGACTTGGGACAGTGTAATCTAACTTTTGAAGCTGTGTAGGTGGGTTTTATTCCTGACTTCTTTGTTTCCAGTTTAGGGAACAGGTAGTTAAGGAAACTGTTGAGAAGCTGGAGCAGAAGCTGTATGAGAAGCTTGCTCAGCAGAATCAGCCTCCAGATTTTCCAGAGAGCACTATTACAGCAGAACCTCCAGTGTCAGAGAGCCAGTCAGAGGATGGCAACCAGTGTGACTGGCTCATCTCCTGCTGCAACTGCCAGGCCCGGATCGTTGGAGTTCGTTACCAGTGCAGGTAGAATATGATGAGAAATGGGAGTGTGGGAAACCTGACAAATGAGTGAGCGTGAGAAGCTGTCTTGCTGTTGTAGATCTCTAGGTTTCTAAGCTGCAGTATGCTGTACATCTCATATCGTGTAATATGTGTCTCAAAGAGCTTATGTGCTCTGTTGTGACTAGACCTTATCTGCATAAGAACAAGATTAATACTGTTTTGAGAAAATGTGATTGTTAAAACAGTGAGAGCTTTAATAACACTTCCTATATTCTCAAACATGCATTTTGCATATAACGTGCAGTAATGGTAAGGAAAATGTTCTGTTCAGTTAACTAAACAGAAAAGCAAACAAAAAAGGGCAAAACTTGCATCCACCTATGTACAATAGTCTGCTGGTTCCGTCAGTCAGTGAGGCTAAGGCAGGTCATGTCTCTCTTTAATGATCTCACTGTTGTCAGTTTAATAATATGAAACAGGTTTTGACAAGTGTCTTAAGTGAGGTGTCAGAAGTGAGGGTTTTATTTGAATGAGGCAGTTGCTGTGTAGAGGTCAGCGCTTTAGGCCTATGCAGCAGCAGTGAATGGAATGCCAGTAGGAGGTTTTCTTTGGATGTTTGTTTTCCTTGCTGGCAGGAAATTCCAGTCTGTTTTTTACCAGTCCTGCAGGACCAATCTGCTTTGCATCCCTGAATGCTTCGGTTGACTTGTTCTCTGTGTTTTCAGAAATATGATGCTGTTTCTGGCATTGGATTTCAGTAGAGTGTTTTATCCTTCATAGCAACAGTTGTTAATCACTTGTGCTAAAGGAAGCATTAATTTTTTTCAATGTGTATTCAAGAGGGAAGTGGGAGTTATGTTGCAGTTTTGCCAGGAAGAGAGATCTATGTATTCCAGATGGCTCCAAATATTGATGTATATGTGAGAAAACCAGCTTCTGTTTCCCTCAGACACTGCTTCCAATGGTAGCATGTTACAAAATTGTTGCTCTGCAGAAATTTAAGGCTTAATTATCCTTCAGTGTCTTTTTCTGGGCATTAATTCTTTGCTTCTTGGTAACCTTCTGTATCTTCTGCTTTGCAGCCTTTGCCCAGCCTACAACATCTGTGAACAGTGTGAAGCAGGAACATATGCACATGATCCTAATCATGTCTTGCTGAAGCTGCGAAGACCTGTACTATGTGTTGCTGAGAATTACAGCCTTGCAGAGTTCTCCGCTCGCCTGCCTACTACTCTGGAGCAAGTTAGGTAAATGGTGGCACCTCTCAGTACCTGACAGGATTATCCTGATAGCAAAGTGCGATTGATGTTCAGCTTTTAGTGTAGATTTAGTGATAATGAGAAATGGAAATTGTACTTGGACTTCATTGTGAGTAGCAGAAAATAGCTGTAGACTTACAAATGGCCTAAGTCATGAATCTTAACAGCATTTTTAATAACAAAGTAGAAAAGACAGAATGTTGTCATAGGTGGGCAGCAAACTCTGAGAGCTTGCTTTTTCTTTGAGCGTACTCTAATCTGCCTTCAAATTTGTTCTTTCACTGAAGCCATTCAAAATATCTTCATAAGCAACTATGAAGATGTTCTTTTAAAATCTTCTGGTATCCAGTCTAGAAGCATGAGGCATTTCCTGAAGTGTTCCCTTGGAGACTAAAGCTGTGTTGGCTAGAGCTGAATTCTAATCAGCTTAATGTATTGTAACAAGGTGGCTTATTCTCTCTGCAGGCTCCAGAAACAGATGGACAAAAGATTTCTGAAGGCAGAAAAGCAAAGATTACGAGCAGAGAAGAAACAGCGAAAAGCAGAGGTCCGAGAGCTGAAAAAGCAGCTCAAATTGCATAGGAAGATTCATCTGTGGAACTCTGTGCATGTACTGGAAACGAATGGCTCACCTACTCTGAAATCTGAGAGTCTTCAACCCAACACCTTCCTGTAAGAGGTGTTGTTAGCTGAGCATTTCTTAGTTGTGCTGTCTGAGCTTTTGTGATGAGACCAACTTAAAGTAACAGCAGGAGCTTATGTGAAAGTGTTATTTGTCAGTGGACCCTGTGAGAATTTTGTCTGAGTGGAATTGGCAAGGTGGAGTGTTCTTCCTGGTTTTACCTGGGAGGAGAGTAGGAGAATTAAAGGCCCAACTGGTGGTTATTACCAGAAACATTGATACAGACCAAGGAGCAAGGGGAGTGCCTGGGAATACATATATTCCAGTTATGTGCATAGGGTGTAAAGGAATGTTAGTCAGTCTGTCTTCCTGCTGTATTGTCTTTGGATAAAGTACATGGTGTGTGCTCATGTGCAGTAATCTTAGTTTCTTGTTCTGTGATCTTAGGCTGAGGCTCATGAGCAGCTTTTACATTTCCCATCCCTTTGGTTTTAGGAATGTACAGCTGTAAAACTGTGTTCAGACTTCAGCTGAAAACAGTAGCTGCAGTGTTAGAATTTTGCAACACTTCTAGAGATAGCAGGAGGAATTGAACTAAATGGCCTCCTCTCTTCTTAGCCAGTGGAATAGCTGAATGGCTTTCTCAATTTTGGTGGGGTTTTGGTGTATTTTCTATTTGTTTCTTCCCCCAAACCCAGGAATCCTACTCAACCCTTCCAAGCAGTTGTCCCAACACTAAGTGCAGTATTTGTGGATGAGAACTTGCCAGATGGGACTCACTTGAAACCAGGGACAAAGTTTATCAAACACTGGCGAATGAAGAATACTGGCAGTGTGGAATGGAGCTCAGACACGAAGGTATCCTGCTTTTGCTATTACTTCTACACACCAAAATAGTTCTTGAAGGTAATATTTGCATGCATTAGGAATTTGAATTCTCTGTCAGAACCTGTTTAAGATTTCATTAGGCCTCTTAATTCACAAGGTAGAAATTGTGAGACAAAAAGCTGTCTGGGTACTCTTTACAACTGCAGACTACAGGAGGAAAGCAGTTAACATCCCTGAACATGTCTTCCAGTGCTGTTATGTTACACTTCAGCCTTGTTTACAACATGCATTGCTTTTCTGACTTCAAAAAGCCTTTCTTCTGTGAGTGAGGGCATTCATGTTGAAAAATAGGGCTATAATCTTACTTTGTGGTGATAGTGACTAATGTGAAAATGTTTACTAGCAGCCTCTCTTCTCCATGGCATATCTGCAAGGTCTTTCAGAAGAGAAACTTTGAGTGCTCCTTCCTACCCAGTATGTAGAGAAGTTTGTGAAGTTAACTTTTGCTTTTCCTATTGTATATTTCAGTTGAAACTGATGTGGGGAAACCTGACCTTGGCATCTTCTGAAAAAAAAGATGTGTTGGTGCCATCCCTTCCCTCAGGACAAGTAGGAACTGTTTCAGTTGAGTTCGTAGCTCCTAATATAGAAGGAACTTACACCTCTCACTGGAGATTGTCACACAGAGGAGAACAGTTTGGGCCCAGGATCTGGTGCAGTATTGTTGTGGATCCTTCCCCAGCTGTTGAATGTCTAGAAAGCAATGGAAAGGATTCTGACTCCTGCCAGAAGGCTAAAGCTTGCAGCACCAAAAAGGCAAGTAGCTCATCTAGTGTTTGGGGTGGTTCTGAATTGCCTAGGAGAAGGAGCAATATATCTTGTTTAGTGCAGTGGCATAGTCCCTAGCTATATTGATTTCCATGGGATTCTTTTAGCTGTTTGCTTCTAGCTTGTATCTTTAATAGAAAAGAAGCAGAACTTCTGTGTAAGTTCTTTTTGACAGACATGTGATTAGCTATGAGCCTGTTGCAGATACTTGTCTAGTTCTTTCAACTGAAACTGCAGAGTTCTCTTTACGTTAGATGTTGTTCTCTTGGCTCTAAAATGAGTTGATTAAAATATCTTTCAAGTTACTTGTGTTCTTACACAGAAAATTCAGGCTTTGTGTTTCATGTAACTGTTTTATTTGCTGCATGAGGTGCTTCTGGGACATCACTGTTTTTTCCTTTTGCAGGATGCTTCCTTTAAGACAGAAGCAGGTGCTCAAGTAATGGGTGATACCATGGAGCAGGTTGAAATACCTCTGCCAAATATTCCTTTGAAGGTCAAAAATCTCCCAAGTGAGAGAGAATTTTATATCCCATCTGTTGACCTCCTCACTGCGCAGGTAAAGTACTTAAATACACATAGAGATAAAGCAAAGCACCTTGGCCTTGATCTCTAGGTATATAAATGTAAGAACAAAAACCTTCTGAAATCTGAAAGAGCCACTGTATTTTCAGGAAGTATATATTGCGTTTGGTACTGCAGAGCTACTTTCTTAGCTTGGTATTTGGGACTGTCACTATGTGGAAGGGACAGACTAAGAGTCAGTGGGGTCTTTCTCTGGCCCCTGACAAGGGAGGGGCTCTTGTTCCCCTCGGTTGTCTGCCACATTCTGTGATGTGGATGTTATGGGATAACTGCCTCTGTTTGGAGATCATGCTGAGTAACAAAGTGAGTTCTTTGTAAGTTAATGGGATTTGGTGCTGGGAAGTAGAGTGTAGGATTTCATTCAGGGTTTGCTGATGAGAACTCTGGTGTTTCTTTTCATAGGACTTGTTATCCTTTGAGCTGTTGGACATTAACATTGTGCAGGAGTTGGAGCGAGTGCCACACAATACTCCTGTTGGTAAGGTTCTCATAGTCTCTGTGCTATCTAGCACAGATAGTTTATGCTTTGTAGTTTTCAGTCTTGGCTTGTTTTCAGCTTCACATTCCCAAGACCATAGGATTCCAGAACTTGAAGGCTGCTATTTTCTTTGCTCACCTAGTGCCAATGTACTGCAAAGTTAGTGATTAACTTCACTAACTGATCTCGTGTAAGATAACTGAGTTTCTTCTGTCTTGGAAGAATATCCCTTAGAAAAGGATCACTTCTTGTAAGGTTGCCACCTGGAGGAAGGAAGATTCCTACTCTCTTTGCTACTTCTGTTTTTCAGACATGACTCCCTGCATGTCCCCTTTGCCACATGATAGCCCCTTGGTGGAGAAGCCTGGCTTAGGTCAGATAGAGGAGGAGAACGAGGGAAGTGGATTTAAACCAGTGCCTGGTAAGCAGGAGTCACAGGGAGCTTGGGTGGGCACGAGGGGAGGAGAATTTTGTCACTTGTATGAGGTCAGCAGACAGTGTCTAAAAGGAGCTCCAACTCCTGTCTTCTGTGGAAAACCAAAGCAGTTGTTTGCCTTGTAAACCTATGGTCTTATGCTGTTCTCTGATTGTAGAAGTTGGAGCATAATACCTGTAGAATTCAGAAATACATATGTTTCCCTTCATTTGTTTAACCACTAGAATTGTTGGGAGAATGAGCAGTTTGCCCTGTATAGAGTAGGTTATAGTCTAAAATGCTGGGTGTAGCCCCCATGCTTCCCAATCACTGTCACATTCAACTTGAACTGAATTCCAAAATCTTTAAGGTTTTGAAAAGCATTAACACAGGGTCAGTGTTAGCCTTGCTGAGCCTAAAAAATCCTTCTTGCACTTAACATTTCCTTGAAGTGGTATTAGAATAACCTGTTGTTTCCCTTTGGAAGGAGTGAGGGAAGCTTGCTTTCCTGCAGATACTTGTCTGGTGAAAGCAAAAGCTGAACATCCATTGAATCAGGAGGAAGGGGAGGAAGACATGAGTGGGACTCAGTTTGTGTGTGAAACTGTCATTCGTTCCCTAACCCTGGATGCTGCACCTGACCATAAGCCACCCCAAAAGAAGAAAGTTCTCCAGAGTAAGTTCTGTCTCTGCTGCCTTCTGTGGCTTTACTGTTGCACAGTCAGCTATTGGCTGCAAATGGCTCTGCAGTGCAGGTGGTGATACTGCTTTGCTTTTCTTGCTTGTTTTATTAGACTCTTCACAGACGCTGCAAGACACCTTCAGTTGTAACACAATAAATGAAGAATCTTCTGGGATCAAAGTTAATTCCACTTTCAAAAAGGAAGCAAAGATTCATCAGTCGGAGGCAATGACAGAAAATGACTGTGGTAAGTAAAATAGGTTTGATTTTAAGATAAAGCTGTAAAAAGGGCTTAACAAAAGAAAATGAGATATAAAACCATCTGACGCTGTTCTAGGACACCAGGAAATGGGTGTCAGTACTTGGTACAAGCAGCTGGTTTAACTGCTGTTTAAAAGAATCAGTGAAATTTCCAGGACAATAGTGACCTTGTGCTAGCCATACAAAATAGACAGTTGTTAATATTCTACTTCTTTATTTTTCTTTCCTCTGTTAGGAGACCTACCACTACCTGATGAGAGAGCAGCTCCCTGTAGTGATATTGGCAATTCTGATGACGTTGAAGATAAGGATGATATTCAAAGTCAGGGCTCCTCTGCTTCATCAGAGGATTATATCATTATTCTCCCTGAGTGCTTTGACACCAGCCGTCCTTTAGGGGAGTCTATGTATAGTTCAGCTCTTTCCCAGCCCAGTTTGGAGAAGACAGGAGAACCTGAAACAGGAGCAGAGAACCCAGAAGGGGGAAGCCAGCCACAGATCCACAGTGTCGCTGATATGTTGACAACCTCACAAACACTGGCTGCTGAACCGTTAACCCCAGAGGCTGCAGACACCTTAACCCAGACACAAAGGTATGCTTCTTGGACAAGAACAAAATGGTTATGTTAATGTTGCTGTAGAGTCTGCAGGTGTTGTGCTTGAGTGTCCAAACAGAAATAGTTGCAACAAACCTTTTTATCTCGCACTGGAGATAAATCCTGCATCTTTGTACATAGCCTGTACTCACTACTGAAGGGGGTGCAAGAGGCATGGGAAACTTCTTTCGTCTGTTGATCTTGACTTATCTGCCTATCTACATGTAGAATGAAAGTAGTAAAAGCAGGTTTTTTTTGCCTTATGTTCTCAGGAATCTTGCATCTCCTCAGGATCATATCTTCCAAGAACTAAATCTACCAGCTTCAGAGAATCTCTCCTCCAGTCATAATCAAATAAGAGAAGGTACTGAGAGTGCTTTTATGAAGGATGCGTCTGATTGTTACCACCTATTCCTTATGCCAAGTATTGCATTGGGTACCATGTTATTCTTGAGAGCAAAAATCTACCATGTAATGATTGTGGGTTGGTTTTTTTTCCTCTGGCGGCTGAAAATTTACTATGTAGAAGATTGAAATAAAGAAAGAATTGGGTTTTTGGATCAGTGAAGAAGTGGAAAGAAATGGTAGGATGGGACTTGGAAGTGTTTGTAGATACCTGGAAAATTAGCTTGCTCTGAAACTAATGAGCTGTATATTTAAGCTGCTGTTACAGTCACTGAGAGCTCAGGTTTGTCTCATGTTGAAGTAAACACCACCGACTTACCAGCCACGTGACTTCTGAAACTTTTGCTTGTTTTGACTGCAGTGAGAATTCAGTTAGTATCTGGATAACTAAATGCGAAAGTGTTAATTTTGTATTGAATACCACTCCTTTCCTTTTATCTGCATATTGCGTCTCTTCGGCTTCACACTTACTGGACATGTTGATAATGATATTTGCTTCTTCCTCTTCCAGAACCCAGTGGTGAAGACAGTCATGGACCAGGATCTTCTGGATTTCTAGCTAGTAAACGGAAGTGCTCAGAATACCCAAGGTAATGAAGCTGTGACTTCACAAATACTGTTTTAAACTAAGAACTGCTAAATTTTCTAATTTAGGCACCTAGTTAAAAATATTGGCTGACAGGTTTCACTTAGTGTTTTCCAGAAAGGCCTCACTTCTTAAAGAAGCATATGCTGAATTACAGAATACTGTATTGTCATAAGATCTTGGTGTCTACTTAAGACACGAGGGTAAAGGATGTAGAGGTTGCAGGTAGAAGTGTATGAAGAGGTCAAACTGAACTCTTCTAAAAGTCTGGATTTTTTGTGGAAGATCTTGGGATTCTTAAAATGGAGATTTTATAAATCGCCTCCATTAAGCATCTGAAGATACTGACACTGGAGGAATAAGACAAAACACTGAGGGGAATATTAAGTAACTTGAAGCTACTCTGACCTGAATGGATGTATCATAGAGGTCAGTCCCCAGACAGCAGTAATTCCTCTGGATCATAGGTTTTTCTACCCCTAAGAACTAAATCTCTGTTGGCACATCAACAGGGAGGAGCCTTGCATTTCACATGAAACACATACTTTACTGACCCTGAAGTAATGCCTGATTTATTTCTCTGTAGATACCCTCAAGGAAGCAGCATTGCAGGAGAACTTGTTAAAGGTGCTTTGTCGGTTGCTGCTTCTGCCTACAAAGCACTGTTTGCTGGACCACCCACTATAGAACAGGTAAATATTTCCTATATGCTAGGGGAGTTTCATAGAATGCCAACCTTAAAGTTATAGGTGTATGTTTCATAAATGTATTGAGACTCTGTATAGGACTTCATGCAACAGTGAAATGTTCAGCTTTTAGTGACATCCTTTTGAAATATGCTGCTTCATGAGGAGGTGGGTAAATCCATACTCTGGGGACATGTCTCTTGCAGCCTCATGGAAGAGTAGTAACTTGCCTTTTTGCAAGTAAACAGTGAAGATTAACAGCTTAATTGTAGACAGAAGTATCTCTATGCTTTAATTATACGCCAGAATAATGATTCATATGGGGAAAAACTCTTTTTATAGCTTACCTTTTGTTTCCAGCAGTCTGCAGCTACAGAAGAGCAAACTGCCACTCTTCTTTCCAGTCTGTGTGAGATGGGGTTCTGCGACAGGCAGTTAAACCTCCGACTGCTGAAGAAACATAACAATAACATGGTTCAAGTGGTAACTGAATTGCTTCAGCTTGGGAACAGTGACTGGTACAGTGGTAGGTGCTGAGCCTTCCTGGTGGAGGGAAGAGTCATCTTCATTGAATAAACTCTCCCAGAACACCACAGCAGTAACAGGCTGTGCCTCAGCTGTGTTCTCTTTGGAGCTGTGACTACAACTTTGGCTTTTCTTTGAGCTTTTGACTTTTTTGTTTTTCTCATGGAAATGTCAAACAGTGCTTGTCACAGCATCTTAGGAATTGGAGACCAGAATTTCACCTTTGATTTGGACCTCACAGTTAGACCTCATGAGTAGCTTTTAAAGCCTCTAATTTCATACCAAATCCTTTTATCAGGGAACCCTGTAGAACTCCTTAAACTTCCACCTGGATGAGACCTTCTCCTCTTATCACGTGTAAGATGTTTTAGGCAGCTGGAAACTTGTTTTGTTGACTTCTAACAAGCTTTGGACTAGCAACCAATGTAAAATGCTGCTGTACAATGTAGTCTTGCCTAGTCTATAAGAGATGCCCACAACTAGCAAGTTGTTCCTTCTGATACGATGTAGTAATTGATTTGTCCAATGCATGATAGTAATGTGACAGACTTAAACCTTACAAATGATTTCTAGAGAACAAGGTTGCTCAGACACAAAAGCCATCTTAAAGCATCAAACAACTTCTGAAAAGTCTGAAAGTGGAATCACTGTTAAACTAAGAATACCAGAATGTAGCAACATGAAGCAGGAGAGTGAATTTACCAGCAGCAATAGAACCAGCTCTAGTACCGATAGCACAAAGCGTATCTCTTAGGGGAAAATACAGCTTACATAAAATGTTTTGTTAAAGTGGAATGTGAGGGAAGGTAAAGGCCTTTGGAAGAATCTTTTACAGGCTTGTTGTAGAAATGTTAAGTCTTTCTTTCAGGGTAGTGCAAACCTCTCGTGTTTAATACCACACAGAAGAATTGAGGAAAGCGTAGAAACCCAGAGCTGAACTGGAGTACAAATTATGGTGGTGTTTAGGAATGGGAAGAGTGCTTGAGGCAGGGACTGTGTGGCTTATGTTTCAGTTGGAACAAGGAATTAACCGAAGCAGTTTTATGGGTGCGGTGTCCTGTGGTGGTTCTAGGTGCTCCTGTGTTTCCACAGATGTGTCTGTAGGATCCATTTTGCTCACAAGATTTCTGTTTAAATGCCCATATTTAATTTGTAACTCTTCTAAATGTGTTGAGAGGTTTGATTCTGAAACATCACAGGAGACCAGCAACATACACTGCTATGCAGTGGTGTACCTGGAGGTAACTCCTCAGTCTGGTCCCTCTGGAGGTGACAGCAGTGCTGGCTACATTCTTGCTTTCAAGCAGGCTTTTCCTTGCTGCAGGAAAAAAACATTGATCCTAAACTACTTTATATTACTGCTACTTCAAATCAAGATGTTCCTGTTGTGTCACACTGTAGCTGAAGCACTATCAGCATTGTGGCTGACCAGGTGATCAGTAGTAATAAGTTTCTAAAAGACATAATACCCTTAGAGATTAAGAGATGATTAAGTGAAGAAAATAAAATGTATCATACCATTTTTGTTTTAAACCTATTTTTATAGATTGTGGGGGAGATACTCTTAAATGTTTATTTTGAAATACAGTAGAACTATTTTGCAGTGTTTCCCATCTCTGTACACCAGTACAACTGTCTGCTGGGACCAGGTAAAGATCATTCTATAACTTGGAACTACTGGTGTTTTTCTCACCTGCACTTATGCATACTGTTTGCTGCCTACTCAAGGAGGAGGAAGAGGAAGGATGTGGAGGAAGAGCGGTAGCTGATGATGTTTTGGAGCATGGAGTGGTTGTCTGCTTTGATCTGGAGTGCCCAGCAGGACGTGCTCTTTCTGTGTGTACCTTTATACTTGGCCTGTTGAAGTGTTCTGTAAATGAATGAAGCACTACAGCATTTGGGGAGGAGCATTTCATGGCAGAGTGAAATGTGAAGTGTGAAATGCTGTTTTTCCATATGTTAATTTTTAGTAGGGTTTAGATAATGAATGCTCAGGCTTAAGTTAGAGATCTCTCTGTTGGCTTTGTATATTTTGTTAATGGATGCATGGTATAATTTATAATATATTCTATAGTGCAGCTGTGACCTCTGTATCTTATTTGGGGTGAGCGCCTTCAATGTCAACCATGGTGAGGGGGAGCAGGGACAGAGCCCCTTTTCCTCTGCCCTTACACCAGACCTCTTGGCCTGTGGGTAGGGATGCTGGCCAGAGGGCTCGGAAGCCTGTGTCCTGGCTGGCTCAGTGGTGGAGCAGCTTCTTAATCAGCAGGTATCTGGGCATGGAGGGGAAATGGGAGGCTTGGTTAAGGGAAGACAATGGAGCTGTGACCAGAAGGAATGAACAACATCAAGTTCAGCAGGGTCCTGTCCCTGGGTTGGGACAAGCACAAGCACAGGCTCTGGGCCAGTGAATGGGGCAGCCCTGAGGCAAAGGACTTGGGGGTGTTGGGTGAGGAGAAGCTCCCTATGACCCGGCTTCACTGTACTCTTGAGCCGAGAACCCCTCCATGTGCTGGGCAGCACCCCCAGAACATGAACAGCAGTTCGGGCTGGGGGGGAATCTCCCTGTCTGGTGTGCTATGGGGAGACCGCCCCCCTGCAGCCCTGATCCAGCTCTGGGGCAGGAGCACAAGGGGGACGTGGAGCTGTTGGAGCGACGGCAAGGGGATGCCCCGGGGGCTGCAGCACCGCCCTGTGCCGTTGTCGGCACCGGCTGCGCACCGCGCTTCCCCCCGGCAACAACCATAGAGACGGTGTGACAGACAGGCCCCATAGCACCGGGAGGCCCCGCCCACTCCGTCTTACGACGCTTCCGCCGCGGCCCGGATGCGGAAGAGCGCCGCGGCCATGGCGGACTTGGCGGTGGAAGAGCTCGCTCAGCTCGAGTACCTGTCGCTCGTGTCCAAGGTGTGCACGGAGCTGGACAATCACCTGGGCATCAACGACAAGGACCTGGGTGAGCGGCCGTCGCCGTGGTGCGGGGCTGGGACGGGGCTGTTGGAGCCGCTCCTGGCGGCTGTGCGCGCTTGGCGAAGGGGCTTTCGAACTGGGGAAGCAAAGGGTTGCTTTACCTCGCAAAACGGGTCGTGAGGGTGAAGAAATGCTTCTATCGGGGCTCCTGCCACAGGAGGGGACCCGCTGCTGGGAGGGAGCAGCGCTGGGGCTGCCCCGGGTGTAGGTAGAGCCGCGGAGCAGCTTCTGCCCCACCGTGAAACACTTAACACGGCCTCGGAGTTATTTCTTCTCATTTCCTCCCTGTGTTTTCCTCGCAGCCGAGTTTGTGATAAATCTCGCTGAGAAAAATACCACGTTTGAGACGTTTAAAGCAGTTCTGCTGAAGAATGGTGCCGAGTTCACTGTGAGTGAGAGCTGAGCATTACTTACGCGTTCTCCTTGGCCTGCTTTATCTCATAAAGCCTCTTGTTTTAAAGAGAAAACGTGGGATTAGTGTCTGTTGTTTTCAGTTGGAAAGCTCCTATTTAGCAGTTGGGGATTCCTGCCCCAGCCAGGCCCCCCTCTCCCTCCTGTTTAAAAGCTCGTGTAGTCTTTGCAAAGGGTTCTGCTTGTCTCCTTAAGCATATAAAATATGCAAAAGCAACTTTCCATGAAGGTAAACGTTGCTGTAAGTGTTTTTATAATACATGAGTTCCTTTGGAATGAGTGTGGTTGGATTAAATAGGTGTTCACAAAGGTCATTGATCACAAAGGTAATTGAAAGTAGAAAAGTCACTTAAATGGAATGATCAAAATAGTTCTCAGAGTCAGTTTATTGCATGCTTTTAGGATGTGTCCAGTGATATGTTTTAAAAATGAACCCAAATCTTCAGAATTGCCCTTTTTCTGTGGTGCCGATAAGCCCTCACTGGTGCTTTCCCAGAACAGAAGTCAGGGTTCCAGTTGTGCTTTACACTAAAGTATTTCATTCCGTTTTTCAGGATTCCCTTATTAGTAACTTGCTCCGTCTCATACAGACCATGCGGCCCCCACCAAAATCCTCTACAAGCAAAGGTATGGAAAACCAAAACTCTTGCTTGGTGGTCTTCTAGTTTTTGGCCATGCTTTGGGCAACTGGTGTAGTTACTGCCCTAGGCTTGCAAGGCTTTATATCTTACTGTGAAGTGGGAGGTTCTCTGTTGCTGGCAGTAGATTAGCAAATCTGTTTAGGCTCTAAAACCACCCTGAGTGTGCTGTTGGAAGCATTTATGTCTTTCACAGATTCACTGTGAAACAGAAGGCTCAAGCTCTTCTATTTTGGTTTTGATTTTTCTTTTCTCTCTCAGATGCAGTTGTCAAACCCAAGTCAGAGAAGGAAAAGCTGAAGGAATTGTTTCCAGCTCTTTGCAGGCCAGACAATCCCAATATCAGGGTAAGGTCATGCTTTTAGATTTCCTTTGTCTATGAAAACTTTATTTATGATTATGTTTCTCTTAGTTTCAAGTTGTCTCAGGGTTTTTTTAATGTTAGCGTTTTCTTGCTGATGCATGGAGAGAAGCAGACTGTGAGAAATGAAATATAGAAGAAGCAGAAGGTTGATATTATTGCTTATACTTTCCAAGAATGGTTGTTCCAGCAGTTGCCATGTGGAAGCTGTTTTGCAGGATATCTGGAAGATGAGGCTCTTATGAACATGGAAGTTATAGTTGAGTCCTTTCTTAAATAGTGCTCAAACTCGTGATGGATTACAAACTAGATATACATTTTGGCCATTCAAATGCTCCAAGGGATTTGCATATTATATTTCTGTAATAATTTGATGTATTGAGTCAAAGCTTTTTTGTATAAAAGTAGAATTGTCTCAATATTGTAGCTTTACTACTTTTATACTCCTAGAATGTGTATTATGTCTGATCTTTTTTCCTCTTACATGCCTTCTAAATAGGCATGTGAGTGGTTATTCATTCTGTAGACTGATTATCAGCCTTCTTACAGACCAGTTCTCTGTTCTCACAGACTATGCTGGATGAAGATGATGTAAAAGTGGCAGCTGATGCACTTAAAGAACTTGAAGCTCTGATGCCCAGTGCAGACAGGCAAGGCAAGCAGAGGAGCAGTGACCACCGGTAGGTTTCTGGCATGTGTCTGGGGACTGGGTGTTGGCAGTTGGTGTTTCCTGTTCTCTGTAATTATGTGGGATTTCACTGCAAATATGTTCTGTTTGCTTCTCAGGGCAAAGAAGAAGAGGAGGAGCCGGAGCCGGGACAGGAGGCGAAGGCACAGATCTCGCTCTAGGTCTCGTTCTAGAACCCGGGATAGGAACAGAGGGAAATCCAGATACAGGTCAAGGAGCAGAACTCGGAGTCCAAGTAGGGACCGTAAAGATCGAGACAGATACGTTGAGAGGAGCAATGAGAGATGGAGAGACAAACACATTGACCGTCCCCCACCTGAAGAGCCTGCCATTGGAGACATCTACAATGGCAAAGTCACAAGTATAATGCAATTTGGATGTTTTGTGCAACTGGAAGGACTAAGGTACTTTCTGCTGTTTATAATAAATCTGGTACTGTTCTATGCGAATTCCTTTTCCTTTCAGCATCTTAGAGGTTCTAAGGCTGCAATAAGGAATGCTGGGGTTGATGCCAAGATGAAGGTTTGTTTCTCTCAGCAGAAAATGTTCTTATAAAAGCTAGTTTATGAACATGCACAGTCAGTTGACAACAAAATAGTGTGGATTCTGAATGATCTTCAGGACTGTCAGCAATAATTTATGACATCTCAGGCTCCTCTGCTTCACCTACAGGAAGCGTTGGGAGGGCTTGGTCCACATCTCAGAGCTTCGAAGAGAAGGACGTGTTGCCAATGTTGCTGATGTGGTGAGCAAAGGACAAAGAGTAAAAGTTAAAGTCTTATCCTTTACTGGATCCAAAACCAGCCTGAGCATGAAGGTATGGAAAGACATTCTGTAGTGCTTATAATAAGTTTGTGGTGCCAGAATTTGAAGGATTATCCCTCTTTTTGCCATTTTTATCTCTTTTTGATGAAAACTAATGCATAACCCCTCAAGGAGGAGTTAAAAAACATTGAGCTAGTCTTCCATATATATGGCCTATTACTTCTTACTCATTTCCTACAGAGTCTTATGATGTCATGTTCCTAACAAATTTTTAATTGATGTGGTAGCTAAGTGGCAGCAAACCCCAAGTTGTTGCTGTGTTTTTCTTCCTTTTCTAGTATGAGAAACTAACATTTTCTGTGTCTGGCTGGTGTTGGCAGTAGTGTCTCTGAGAAATGTACTTACCTTTTTCTCTTGTGTTAGAGGAAGCACTAATGTTAAAAGATAACAAGTGCAGTATAAATAGACTGATTAATCAATCTGTAGGATGTTGATCAAGACACTGGGGAAGACTTGAATCCAAACCGGAGGAGAAACCTGGTTGGAGAAACCAATGAAGAAACATCTATGAGAAACCCAGACAGACCCAGTCACCTGTCCCTGGTGAATGCCCCAGAGGTGGAGGATGACAGCCTTGAACGGAAGCGCCTCACCCGGATTTCAGACCCAGAGAAATGGGAAATAAAACAGGTGTGTTCTTGTATTCATAGGATCTCAGAATGGTTTGGGTTGGGAGGCAACTTAAAGCTCATCCTGTTCCAACACCTGCCACAGGCAGGGACACTTTCCACTAGAACTGCTTGCTCCAAGCCCCTGTGTCCAACCTGGCCTTGAACACTGCCAGGGATGGGGCAGCCAGAGCTTCTCTGGGCACCCTGTGCCAGCGCCTCAGCACCCTCATAGGGAAGAGCTTCTGCCTAAGAGCTCATCCCAGTCTCCCCTCTGGCAGGTTAAAGCCATTCCCCTTTGTCCTGTCCCTACAGGCCCTCATCAGAAGCCCCTCTCCAGGTTTCCTGTAATTCGCTTTAGGCACTGGGAGCTGCTCTAAGGTCTTCCTGGAGCCTTCTGAACAAGCCCAGCTCTCTCAGCCTATTCCCAGAGATGCTTCAGCCCTTGAACCATTCCTTTGTTTTGCAGTCACAACATTCTCTTGTTCCTGTTTTACAAATCTCCTAATTGCATTAGAGCTGAGACCTCATAGACATGAGTTGTGTTTGTTCATGGGGGCAACTTCATGTTGTGTTT